CCGCAGTGCCTGAGGCGGAGCAGGAAGCCATGGAGGTAGAGACCGTTGCGGAACCTGAAGAAATCCCAGAACCATCTGTCATCGCGGAGGACGATCCAGAACAGGAACCTGATGAAGAAATGGACATAGAGCCCGGAGAGGACTTTGATGACGCAGTACCAGAAGCAATTGCACAGGAACGTCGTCCCGTCTTCGTTACCGGCCAGTCTTTGAACATCGATCCTGAGCTACAACTTGCACTTACCGCCATGCAGCCATCCTACTATTCTGGAAAGCGAAATGCCCATTGCATTGACGCGAACATGACCGCTCTTTCGTACATGGCATACGTGGTATGCAGATCCATCTACAAGGCTTGGTCAGGATTCGCAAAGTGGGCGACTATGCCGTTGTTCCAGATGAAGGAAAGTTTCGCACTTGGCCAACGCTATGATGTGCTCGGAAAGTGGGGATCTTTGGCGGCAGTGGATAGGGAAACGGGTGTGAGCAAGGATGTGACTGATGAGGAGATCATTCGCTTTGCCAAGGAGCCTGAGAACCTCAAGCAGTATGATCCCAACGGGACTTACACCTTGAAGCGCTTCCGAACGAACCAGATGCTTTCGTTGCTTACACGGGGAGCCAACATGATGGGAATTGGCAGGGACAACTTCAACCCTACTACTTACTTGAAGAGCGAAAGGGATGAAGATGTGAAGGCTATGCACTTTTGTTGCCTGAACGTCCTGTGCGAGGTGATTCAAATGGTGACGGGACACCAACAATTCTCAGTGCTACGACCAACGCCAACTGGACCGGTGGACTTCTTGTACATCGACCCCGTCGGTATCCTGCTGACTCATTCTGATCAGTCAGTCCAGACCATCGGCTTGCTGGTGGACAACAATGTGCAAATGCCTGCGCATTTCATGGACAGATTGAACAGATCCAAGGTTGAGAGACAGCAAAACCCGACGACCAAGCGTACTGAAGCCCTACACCACATTTCGGCCGCTGACTATCTCCCTCCAGGTGGTACTTCCATCCTGGACACGCCTGTCACTACGGAGGAACGTGAAAGCGCTTCTTCGGCCAAGGGACCTTCAAAAGGGCGTGGGAGAACCGGAGGTGAGCAGCATGGAGGCTGGAACTCCAACTCCTACTACGACTACACCGCCGGCAAAGGCCGAAACAAAGGCAAGGACAAGGGAAAGCAACGGGAACAGTATCCAGAGGAAAACCTACGGCCCTGGGACCGCGATCCTGCGACCACGCGAAGATGGAGATGAATCAACGCTTGGCCTTCCTCGCCTATCAGTTCGTGACCTCTGAGCTTCGCCCATGGAATGCCATCGCGAATGCTTCTTTCTTCGGTGACGCCTGATTCGTTTGCCATTTCAGGGGATCGTTACTGACGTAGATGAGTGTCAAAACGTTTCTAATTGGGATGCAAAGCTCTGATTTTCAATGTCAACGTTGCGGCGGAACATTTTCTGTTGTCCTATCGTGCCATCTTCCGGGTGAGCAGCGTCGGAGACGCAACTCATGGGGGGTGCGAACGGACTGCGATGCCTTGTCAAGTTCTAAGGTGTCACTATAAGAGCTGTGAGCAAGACTGTGTAAAGTGCAAGAGAAGGGGGCACGCTACGCGTCCCTCGACTCTAAGGGGGCATGCTACGCATCCCTCATCTTTACCTTTCTATGTGACCGCCAACGCAACGTTTGGATCAAGTCAATGCCCATAGCTAAGTGCTATATGTGTCTTCTATCCTGAGCAATCAGAGCTATCCCGTTGCACAGACGAACCGCCGCCGGCAGTGAGTGCAAAAGGAACGGTCGCCGGTTCTGCCTGCATAGGATTGCACGTGTGGAAGTAAGAGGGAGAGACAGGGTCCAGTCTGTGGAGAGTGCAAGCCAGCCACACCTACATTCATTACAGCTCTGGTGGGGAGAGCAGCAACCAAGTCGAGATCAATCCCCCACGCAAATTGTTTTATGTTTGTGTTCATATAAAACCCAAGAGAATATTTGACATAGTATTGTTATTATATGGCTCTAAGGGGGGTATCGTCACCAGCCCCGAAGCCCCAAGCGCTAGTTTGTAGCTGTTTTGTATCCGTGAGCCCTGAAAGCCCTATGCCTAGGGACCCCAAAAAGCACATAAGCATAGGCATTTTGTAGGGATATCCCTACCTAGTTGGGCTTCATTATAAGGGGATTTATATATGGGATATCCCTATCCTTATTTTTGCTTATGTGCTTCTTTGGGTCCCTACACTGCTTGCAAGTCTGAGGCCGGCTGCCCGCGCGGAGAGGTTGGGAACCCAGGAGGAGGTTTCGACAACCATGGGCATTATGGAGTCCTTAGTCGTTAGACTAGCGTTTTTTTTGGGGGGTCACTATTCCGACCCCTATAGCACCTCATTCGTGCGGCGATAGAGGAAGGATGTGAATGCTTGAGGTTTACATTCTCCCTACAGTAGTGTTCATTTTTAGAATCTCGTTTTCCACTCGAGGCGTATATTTCAGAGCACCTTTATGTTCAGAACGGCCGAGACCGCCTGCCTTGGGTGTTTTCTGCCTTCGGGGCGGGCAGGCCCAAGCCTTCAAAGTGCTATAGTGGCTTGTAGAACCCAAAAAGTATCCTTCACCCTAAACCCTAAACCCTAAGCCGTGAAGACTCAGACAAAGGCCGGAGCATGGAGCTTGCAAGCACGTGACCAGAACTCCATGCGGAGGGGCTTAAGGGGTTTTTGCCTGGGTTTTAGGATGGGCCTTAGAAGGGTCTATGCAAGGGTTCTCGATGAGGTCTTCAGAGATGCCATGAAAGTTTACGGATTTGCGGTTTGAAGACTTTGGGTGTATTCACTGCTTGGGGTTTCGGGTTTAGGGACTGTTCAGATGAAAGATGGATACAGACAGACAGACAGACAGACAGACAGACAGAGAGACAGAGAGACAGAGAGACAGAGAGACAGAGAGACAGAGAGACAGAGAGACAGAGAGACAGAGAGAGTGAGAGAGTGAGAGAGTGAGAGAGTGAGAGAGTGAGAGAGTGAGAGAGTGAGAGAGTGAGAGAGTGAGAGAGTGAGAGAGTGAGAGAGTGAGAGCGAGAGAACGATATGAAAATTAAAACTCATATACCTATACAGATGTATGGATAGGTGGATAGGTAGATGGACCGATAGATCTACAGATAGGTATATATCTGTAGGTAGACAAATGGGTAGATCGATAGATTGATACGCATATGCGCATCCATACATGCATGCATGCATCCATCCATCCATCCATCATCCATCCATGCATGCATACGTAACGGACTTCCCAAATCGGTTGGGCCATCAGTCCCATTTGCAAGCTCCTGAGACTCGCCCTTAACACAGTCTGTGGTGCTCCTGTTTTAGAGGTTTTGGAAGGGGAAATTTGGCGCCAACTGTAAAGCTTAATATCGATTGCAGGGGTACTGTTTATGTATGCACAAATAGATCAAGAATGAACCAGCCCGAGAAACCTGCTTCTTTGGAGCTTTTCGTGAGGTGAAGCTCTTTGATTTTCAGCCGGGCGGAGCCACACAAAGCTGCTGCAAGCAGGAGTCTGATTTCTGAAAGTTCGTTCTGGGATTTGTGCGATTTTCGTCTAAATGACACTCTTTCGTTTGTCCAAAGATGCTTGTTAGGATTATTGTGAGCGTTCACTTGTGGTTAGGTTTCGGGGCTGAGGGTGTAAGAGATACACGGTAAGCCGCAACTCCTTAATGGTTCAAGGCGCCGCGAAATCCTAAACCTGGCAGCTTTGCGGTCAATCAGGGACTAGAGTCGATGGGCTCGGGGGTTTCCATGTCTGAGGATGGACATTCGTGATCGCCTGTGGCTTACCCACAAGCTTTCCCCGTAGCCGTCTGCATTTTCGGACGTATTTGCCAGGTACCATAAACCCTAACCGAACCCCTAAACCCCAAAACCCAAACCCCGAAGCCCTAAACCCTAAACCTTGGACCCCCAAAGCCCTAAACCCTCACCTTAGACTCTTAGACCCCGCAGCCCTAAAGGCTAATCCCTAGACCCCCAAACCCATAAACCCTAAACCTTAGACCCCCAAAGCCCGACGAAAGCCTAGACTCCCTAGACCCCAATCCTTGAACCCTCAGGGCAGCTTCCAAAATCAGGCCTCTCCGGGCAGTTCAGATCAAAGGGTCGCCGAGGCGAACCCTCTCAGGGTTGAGGAATCTTGTTATTAGTATGAGTATCAATACCATTAGTATGTTTTCTATTGTTAGCATTACTCGTATCAGTCTTCGTATGCTTGTTATGATGACCAGTCCTTTTGTTGCTTACCTTTCGGGTTTTTGGTGGTTGTGCGATCCTAAACCCTAAACCCTAAACTTTACCGACCAGGCTTGTGCTGGTTGCGCCTACTTCTCGGGAAATTCCTGCCAGCGTTGTGCCGGTGGCTTCATCGAACGTGAAGGCCGGAGAAGTTTAGGATTTAGGGTTTAGGGTTTGGGGGTTTAGTAGGTAGGATGGGAGGATTCAACTTACCTTTGGTTGGTAGGGAATGGAGGAATGGGTACAGGAATAGCTACTATTACTACCACTCTTCCATTCCCTACTAACCAAAGGTAAGAAAGGTGGGAAGGTAAAGCAGCAGGTAGGATGAAGGATCCCTTGTATAAGGACTCCTAACTGGGAATATCCCACGTACCTTCATCCCACCTTTTAACCCCTTTGAGAAGGCCAATGCACAGCCTGCACCAGTTCCGGCGGCTGGCTCCTTGGAGAATGTTGTGAGTATTTTTGTGTGATCTGTGTTTGGGACCAAATGGAGGTAAGCTAGCTGAGACCCACCTGACAGGGATGCTGTCTTGAGTTCACATTCGGGTTGTTGTTGGGTGCTCTTATGAGTACGCTTGAACGATAGTTTTTCCATTTCGGTTTGGAGGTTGAGGTCCAGCATGTAGGGCTGCGTTGCCAATCATCTTGCCGCATTGATCCAGGCTCAGCTTGGACGGGAAATCGTGCATGCAGCTGGCGTCGAGCGAATGCAACGATGAAAAAGTACGGGGCCAATCGAGCAACGAGGCTTGCTGCCAGTGCGGTGGTGGGGTCGTTACGCACCTTGGTTGCACGTACCATCGGGTGCGAGAGTTTGGTTGTTTTCGGGTTTGGATCTACTTGAGGAGCACTTGGAGATTACTTGGGGGTGCTCTGAGTTGTCTCTTTCTTTGCGATTGCAATGTAGAGTCGCCCAAGTTTTTCTTTTGTACTATAACTCCAGAACCCTTAGTCTAACCCTAAACCCTAAGCCCTAGACCTTTGCAGACCATAAGGGATTGCATTGCTGATTCTTCGGACCCCTTAACTCAGTGTATCACCCTAAACCCGCCCGAAATCCCTGCGCCCTTAAACCCCAAACCCCCAAACCCTAAACCCTAAATCCGAAACCCTAACCCTAAACCCCTGAGCCCCTTGTGTCCCAGGCCGACGCCCTTCTCCTATCCCAACAGGCGCTGGTCCCTGGACTCGGACATTGCGACTCGCCAAGGATGTCCTAACATCTGGCTTTGTTGCTAGTATTCATCTTTTGCCTTGATGATGGTTTCTATCGAGGTACGTTTTCATGAGTACTTGTACAGACAGGGACGCTGTGGGACAACAATCCATTCATGCTGCTTTTTTTGCATAACCAGAATGACCACCAGTGTCTCGGTTGCTATTCGTAACCCTAAACCCTAAACCCTAAACCCTAAACTCTAAACCCTAAACCCTAAACTCTAAACCCTAAACCCTAAACCCTAAACTCTAAACCCTAAACCCTAAACCCTAAACCCTAAACCCTAAACCCTAAACCCTGAACCCTGGGTTCGTCGTTTTACTTTCGTCTCGGGGGAAGCGCTTGGGAAGTTCCCAGGTCATGAAGCCCGAGCCCCGCACGGCCCTGCGCTACACCGTGGACTCGAAGTGTGAGCTTGCGGCACATAACCTGACCATCGACAGCTCCACAGGAGGGTTTTGGGCAATTTCGGGTGCTTTGTTGCAGATTGTAGGGCTTCAGGTTCGGGGGTTGGGATGTAGGCTTCAGAGCTGAGCGCCGGACGACTTGGTGGTGTTTTTTGTCTGCCTGAAGGCATGGGGTAGGTGTCGGACTCCGGATTTACGGTTGTTTCCGCCCTGAACTGCGGCAATATTGACCCGACAAGCGGTCATGGTAGACTGCTGTCCCTTTAAAGTGCTTCCTGGACCCCCAAAAGTATGTAGAATAATAGCCTTTTAAAGGTTTTTGGCCATTATTTTACCTACTTTTGAGGGCCTCGGTCTGGTTCTACTAGTATGTTAGTTACTGTAAGTCTTGAGGAGCCCAGAGACTCCAATATATATCTTAATTTGGGAATAGGTACCTTAAATCATATTAGGGATCCTACTATAATTTAAGGAATATCCCTTAATTAAAGGATATTGGAGTCTCTGGGAGGGTAGGGCTCCTGTAGTGCAGCGTTGTTCGCGCAGGCACGGTGTACAAGAGTTCAGGCGATTCGGAAGGTGCTGCTGCATGGCGTCGCGCATTTTGGGGTATACGGGTGAAAGATGTTGCTGCCCCAAACCCTACACCCTAAATCCCTGAACCCCTAAACCCTTAAGCCTAAAACCCTAAACCCTGAAACCCTAAACCCCTAAACCCTAAACCTTAGAAGCTGCCCCCACCCTGTAATAGTGACTATAAGGATTATATTAGGGCCCTTTTATATTCCAATTATGCCCTAAACCCCTAAACCACAAAACCCTAAACCCTAAACCCTAAAACCCTAAAGCCCTAAACCCTTAAACCCCAAAACCCTAAACCCTACACCCTGAACCCTAAAACCCTAAACCCTTAAACCCCAAAACCCTAAACCCTACACCCTGAACCCTAAAACCCTAAACCCTTAAACCCCAAAACCCTAAACCCTACACCCTGAACCCTAAAACCCTAAACCCTTAAACCCCAAAACCCTAAACCCTACACCCTGAACCCTAAAACCCTAAACCCCTAAACCTCTAAAACCCTAACCCCCTAAAACCCTAGCTGTCATTTTGAGAACGGTTTCCGAGTTGGGGGCTCCCAGTAGGGTCTGCGTTCTGACGCAGCGCAAGACGAAGATTTAGGGGTTTTGGGGTTTAGGGTTTAGGGTTTTAGTTCGGGTTTAGGGTTTCGAGTTTGGGGTTTAGGGGTTTTGGGGTTTAGGGTTTAGGAATTTCGGGTTTCGGGTTTAGGGGTTTCGGGTTGAGGAGTTTCGGGTTTAGAGTTTCGAGTTTAGGGTTTAGGGGTTAGGGTTCAGGTGGGGTTTAGGGTTTAAGAGCATAAGAAAGCCCATGAAACACGAGCAACTACCGCCCGTCTTTCAGCTGGCCCATTAAGATAAGCGGTTTTTGTGTCCAAACCCGTCTCGAGCCCAAAATCCTCATTATTTAGCCCCCAAGCTCATAACCCTCAAATTCTCTACCGAAAAGATCCAATCAACAGCAAAGGAGCAAAGCACAATAATGGGAACACAACTGGACAAGCCTGAACCTTAAAGCCGAAACCCGAAACTCTAACCCCTAAACCCGAAACCGTAAACCGAGACTCGAAACGCTAAACCTCAAACGAGCACAGGCACAACAACAAGAACTCGCCGCGCAGGAGAGATCAGCTACATGCCTGGGCGAGATAAGCCTCTGGAGGTCACCCTGAAGTTACCATAACTTCCTTCAAGCAAGGTTAAGGAAGTTAATGGAAGCTACCCAAACTCCTGCTCTCTTTGGGCCTTAACGGGTTCTGATGTTCCTGGGGTGTTGGGCTGAGAACTTGTGGTTTCATTCATTTTTTTTTTCGAGGGTGTTGTCAGGTCTGGGGCTGCGGGTTTCATAGATTTTCGGGTTGAGGGTTTAATACAGGGGCCTTAGGAGTTAGAAGAGGGTCTTGGGGTGAATTATTGTTCTCTACTTTAACGCCCCCCAACATAGTATAGGTAATTATTCAGGCCCCTAAGTTAGGATTATTCAGCGCTAAGGGCTTTGCTGTACCGTGCGTGCGCAAGCTTCGAGTAGCAGGGCCACGGATGTGGTAGTGTTCAGGGTTTCGGGGTTACGATCATTCGCGGACGCAGACTTACAACCAGAACCCGAAACCCCAAGCCCTAAACCCCAAACCCAAACGCTAAACTCCGAACTGAGTTAAACCTTGACTTCACAGATCAGGATCTGCGTTATATTGTATACGTATATGTATCTATCTATATATATATATATATATCTATATATCTATATATATATATATATACACATTTATATATATATATATATATATATATATATTATAAAATATAATATATATATATATATATATATATATATATACACATATTTTTTGTTGGGGGGTGTACAGCAGTCTTGGGACCTAGCTCTGCAAGACTCTGCGTGAGCAGGGTTGCGGGCTTCGAGGGCGCTCGAAACCGCGGAGGCATGCATACCTATATGTATCTATATATACATATATATATATATTTATATTTATATACTTATATATTTATATATACACAGATTTAGGTCTGCGGTTTCTTCGGCTTTGACGGATTGTGTCTCTTGGTTGTTCTGAGGGTTCATGCAAGAAGTTACTTGGTCGAGGAACGCGGTGTCTTTGCGATGCAGCGGCCTACAGGCGGACCTGGTGCAAAAGGCTGAAAGGACCCACCCTGTAATAGTGACTATAAGGATTATATTAGGGCCTTATTATATTCCTATTATACCACTATTACAGGGGGGAATCCAGGCATGTCTGCACCAGGCCTTATTCCCAGATCTTTCAGATCCTACAATGCAATGCCAAGAAGCGAAACCCGAACAACAGCCCTTTAAAGACCTCAAACGCCCTGTGCCGATATGGGGGTTTCCGAAAATCGGTGACCCTAATAGAGTGCCCTAAATAGTAGGATCCTTATTTCGAATCCTTAGCCTCCAAAACGAAGCTTCGAGGCCTTCTCCTTCGAGTGTGAGGTCACCGCCCACCAGGCCCGGCGGGTGCTTGTCAGAGATAGATCGACCCACGTTGGGCTTTAAGTTTGGGGGTTTTTAGGGTTTTTGGGGTTTAGGGTTTGGGTTTTAGGGGTTTGGAGGTTTTAGGGTTTGGGGTTTGGGGGTTTTGGGGTTTTTGGGGTTTAGGGTTTGGGGGTTTTAGGGTTTAGGGGTTTGGGGGTTTTAGGGTTTTTGGGGTTTAGGGTTTGGGGGTTTTAGGGTTTAGGGGTTTGGGGGTTTTAGGGTTTTTGGGGTTTAGGGTTTGGGGGTTTTAGGGTTTAGGGGTTTGGGGGTTTTAGGGTTTTTGGGGTTTAGGGTTTGGGGGTTTTAGGGTTTTTGGGGTTTCAGGGTTTTTGGGGTTTAGGGTTTAGCCGGGTTTAGAGTTTGTAGGGTTTTGGGTTTCGGGTTTGGGTAGGAGGGCCAAGGGCGGGCAAACAGGAACTTGTGGGGAGAGAACAAGAGGGCCGAGATCAGGGGCATGGAGGATATTGGGTTTAGGAAAGGGGATTGAGCGTTTTGGATATGGGCTTGGGGGTTTGGGGGTTTGCTGTTTAGGGCTTCGGGTTTTGCGGCTTAGGGTTTATCGAGTTTAGCGTTGAGTGAGCAATTCGGGTGTTTTTCTGGGATCCCCATGACAGATTCGTCTGCTTCTTTCAAAGCATCACCCTGCGACAGGCCGTGGGTGTGAGCTTGGCTTCCGTCGTCATGGTGGCCGCCGACGCGCTGAGCTACAGCTGCGAGCCTGCTTGAGGTTTAGGGTGTAGGGGGTTTCTCGCCGTAAGGTTAGGCAAGCAGAAATGACTGAAGCCTATCTCAGAAAAAGGGATATTTCCTTCAACAGTTGGTAATATTCGGTGCCATTCAGTTTGCTCCCATTAGCTGTCGGGCTTCAGGGTTTCGGGTTTGCATGGCGCCCTACAGCCTTCAACCCTCATATTATACAGGCTTTGATGATGGGGTTCTTATAACATGATAACGGTTTCTACACGCGTCTCGTAAGGGTTCTACCAACGCTTCCGAAGCAGGCCACATACGAATCAACCAAGCCCTAAGCCGTTTTTTAACAAGAAACTCGTCTGGTTTCTACATTATAGGATGCTAGGAATGTTGCCTAGGGGCGGCACTGACCATGCAAACTCTGGCCTGCACCTCCGAAATAGTATTTGCAAAACTCCCGCGCCGCCGTGGAGGCATCTTACCAATTCAAAACCTACGTGCTGCAAACTCAAGCCCGACACCCGCATGCAAGATCCGCAAAGACCTAGACCCGGGGGTGCCCAGAGACTCCAATATCCTTAGGGAATATACGAATCATATTAGGGATCCTACTATAATTTACTGTATATTCCTTAATTAAGGGATATTGGAGTCTGTGGGTACGGGTGGGGGAAGTCCTTTGGGGAAGCTGCCAAAGCTCAAAACGGCTCGCCGTGAAAGAACCCTATGGCTCCCACTTGTACGAAGACGGGGTAGGCTCAATCTGCGCCTCTTAAGCGCTAACAGTAGCCTAAACAAGTACCTCTACTATTCTGGGGGTTCCTTATGATTAGTAGAGTAGATTATACCCAAAACCCAAATCTAGTTATTAAGGCCCCTATATTAACTGATGGGTCCTTGGGGCTTTGCATTAAGGGGTTGTCGAGCCACTGAGGCTCTGTCACTCTGCTTTTCCACGGCGACAGTGAAGACGAGTTGCCGCTGACAACCGGAAGCGGATGGTCCAAGTTTGTGACTCGGACAGCGTAGGCTAAACCCTGCACCCTAAGCCCGCAAACCCCTGAAGCCTGAAACCTCAAACCCCACACGCGAAAACCGATTCTGCTAGAAGGGTTGTATACAGGTGCTTTATTTACAGGACTCTCCTAGCGCCTAAGGGTTCTGTAAAGCTTTCGGGTTCAGGGCTTAGGGTTCAGCGTTTCGGTTCGAAGGTTCGGGTGCAAAGCTTAGGATGACAGGTCCGAGCTTTGGAATTTTCGGGACCGGTGTTTGGGGTTTGGGGGTTGCGGTTTTGGTCTTTGATGTCCAGCCAAGACCTCTAACGGCATGGGTGTTTAGTGCTTAGGGCAAGGGGCGGCCTTGGCTTCAGGGTTTGGGGCCTTTTTTGAAGGGTTCTGGGGTTTAGGGTTTAGGGTTTAGGGAAGTTGCAAGGATGTGGGGGCATCTACACTAAGTTGCAGGATGCCCTAAGTCCTGAATCCTACACCGCCTTAGAAGTGGAAAGGGGTCCCCCTCAGGCCCCATGCGCATGCCACGCTTCGTGGGTCTCCATTAAATCCTGAACAGTCGAAGGGCTACCTTAACCCTGAAGTAGGGTTCCCTATTATGATTTCCGTATATAAGACTTATATGTCCTTGAAAAGGTAGGTTCTTCAGGGTTAAGGTAGTGCTCAAAACTGCTGAACCCTGAAACCTAATTGATGGACCCTTAAGCTGCGCTGAACAACTCTCGGTTGTCGCCCTGGAGGTAAGATGCTGTAGTGCAAGAGCACGAAGCTACATATACTCTCTCTCCCTCTCTCTCTCTCTCTCTCTATATATATATATGTATACAGTATTTACTATATACACTAGATACAAGAGATATACTGTATTCTACTAGATATGGTGGAGATACTGGTTCTACTGTATACCTGCACTTGCCTCCGAACGGTTTAGGGTTTAGGGTACGGTCTAGGGTTTAGGGTTTAAGGTTTAGGGTTTAAGGTTTAGGGTTTAAGCTTTAGGGTTTAAGGTTTCGGGGCCTCGAAGATGCATCTTCGGAAGCCTCAAAGTCCCAGACCCCCGAGCTTTATCAATGAGCGCAACAGCGAGGCCTGCCGTCCGAGGCTCTCTCCGACCCCAGCCTCTAAAACCCTAAACCCTAAACTGTAAACCCTAAACCCTGAAACCCTAAACCCTAAAACCCTAAACCCTAAACCCTAAAACCCTAAACCTTAAACCCTAAAAACCTAAACCCTAAACCCTAAACCCTCCTCATCACTTTAAATGGTCCCTATATGGAGCCGCAAAGCCTGACCCGAAGCTTAAGACCTGAAGCCAACATCCTGCAGCCTTCAAGCTCCAGAGCTCTAATCCCGGAGGCGCTAAAGCCACAAGCCCTCACAGTGTGCCAGACAATCTAAGATGGAACTATCAGAGAACCATCGTAGACAAATTATGGTGCAACGCTTAGGCTTAATCTAGAATAAGGCTTAAATCTGAAACCTTAAACCCATGACGCTTTGAACTCGAAGCCTTCGACCCAAAACCAGACCCTAAACCAAAACCTAAACTCCTCAACCGAAACCGTTAAACTTTTTCAAAACACAAAAAGCCCTTAAAACCCTAAACCCTAAACCAGCCCTTACAACCCTAGATGCACTCCGCCCCAAAGCCCGAAGCAAGAAAGGAGCTGGGATGCGCACCGGAGGTCGGTCTCGCCGTTTTCGTAGTTTTTTTTTTTTTTTTTTTTTTGGGGGGGGGGGGGGGGGGTGAGGATTTCAGGGTTTTTCGATCTAGGCCCTAAGCCCTAAACCCCTAAACTAGGGAATAGGCTTTTGAAGTCTAGGGTTTCGGATCTAGGGTTCGTTTTAGGGTTGAGGGTTTCAGGTTCCCAGAGAGCCCAATGCCCCTGAATGAAGGAAGATACCTTAAATCATTAGGGGGCTTAAACTCCAATATCCCTTAATTAAGGAATATTCCTTAAATCATAATAGGGTCCCTAATATGATTGAAGCTATACTCCTTAATTGAGGGATCTTGGGCTCTCTGGGTTTTTTCGGTCTCGGGTTTGGGATTTCGAAGTTTAGGGTTGCGGATCTAGGGCTGTGGATGTAAGGTTTACGGTGTGTGGATTTCTGGATTTTTGAAGCTTAAGGTTTCGGATTCAAAGTTTGGGTTTTTTTTGTGTTTTTAGTGCCTAGGGTTTAGGATTTCAGGCTTAGGGTATTTTGGGCTTAGGGTTTCAGATTTATTCCCAATTTAAGGCGTAGGGGTAAGGGATTCGGGCTGAGGGCAAATAACTTTAGGGTATCACGGTTTTTGGATTTCGGGAGCGTCGAGGAGTGAGGGTATCGTCGATGCCACACTTGGAGGTTCAGGGGGTAGGTATAAGTGGGATTATAAGTCCCCTCATATGGGTTCGAAGTATAGTTACCTTGCTTACAGTCCTAGTTATAACCGCCCATGAGCTCTGGCTCGAGACCTTCCAGTGGTGGAGCCGTTAACCACAAACCCTCGAGGGACCCGTAACCCATGGCTGTCTTCGGCGACTTTGCTCTGAAGGATGTTCCAGTCGGGTCCACTCTGGACATTGTGGTTTTTCAGGTCAATGGAGGCATCTACAAGGGCGCGATGCATGGGGATTTGTATTCTTGCCCAAACTTGGGACCAGGCTTTTGGACACTTTTCGGCTACACCCTTAGCTCCGTTGAGCGTAACGTGGGCTATCTTACATGCAATGAAGAGTCCAGGGCATTCCCAAAACCTGACCACTCGGCAGCTGCCTTTGGAACAGTTGTGGAGGTTTGTGCAGGAATCGGTGGCCTCGGCCTTGGAGCTCGGTTTTCGGGCATGCATATACTACTGCAGGTCGAAAGGACGGACATTGCTTGTGAGACACTACGCTTGAACGGTGGACCTGTGCTCGCCGGTGACATCGGCGCCCGAGAGGTTCAATACAGCATTGCTAAGGCGTGTCAGGGCCAAGGCCACCTCTTGGCAGCCAGCCTCCCAAGCTACAGCCTCTCTTTGCCTGGCATGGAAGGAGGACACCCGAACTGGGAAACACATATCCTTGGTCAGATTCTCCAGGTTGCATGGCGAAACCAAGTTGCGGGACTGCTTCTGGAATGTCCGCCCGAGGTGCAAGACCGGCCACAGGCCCTGCAACTTCTGCAGCACTTCGCGGCTCGTATGCACTTTAAGGTACAACAGGTTGCACTCGAACTGGGCGATCAGTGGGCATCCCGCCGCAATCGCTGGTGGTTCGTCATGCTCCCACAAGAATTGCCAGATCTGCACTTGCCCTGTTGGCAGCCCACTCCGACTCCCACATTAGTGTCGGATGTGATTGCGGAATGGCCACTCTGGCCCGTGGAGCAGGAAAAGGACCTTGCCAGGACCCCGGAAGAGGTCCAATGGGACAGCGAAGCCGTGGGTGGCCCCGAGAGTCACTGCTTGGATACCCAAAGACAAGCCCCTCAGGCTCTGCACAGCTGGGGCTCTGAGTTGCAGGCCTGTCCGTGCGGCTGCCGTGAAGCAGGCTTCTCCGAGGCCATGCTGCGTGCCATGGGCCATAGGGGTTTTAGGGTTCTTGGCCCTTTTGGGGTTAGGCTTCCTCACGCCGGTGAGGTAGGTTTCCTTAATTCCCTCCCCGCCTCCTTCCTGCATCTCCCGGCCTCGCGTGCAGCATTATGCTTGGTTGGCCAAATCACCGCCCCTCTGCAGTCCTTGTGGATAACCGCACATGTTGCAGCCTGGGCCGAATCAACTTTTACCACAGGCGGCACGACTGACCCGAGCAGGCTGATCCTGGATTACAAGCGCTACCTGCTTGAAACTCGCCGGGACCTTTGGCTTGTGCCGTCCCTTCAGCCAGCCTCTCTCTTGCAGCTGATAAGTGGTGATTCTACATTTGACCTCAAGGTTTCAGGGCCGACACGAGTCCAGGCTTTGGCACAGGCTGAAAAGGACTTACATGGGCCAGGCTTCTTGATTCGGATCTTCGAGGGCAATCGCAAACTCCAGCCCAACGCCTTCTTGCATCCAGACCTCCCTTCAGGTACTTACCGCCTTGAGGTGCACACAAAGTCGGCGTGCCGTTCTGTGCTTTCCTCTCCTGCCTCTGCCCCACCCACGGGCACCACAGATGTCACGATCTGGGCCGGCTTGCTTCGGCTGCAGGCTGCCTGTGCTCAGCCGGTCTTTATCGTTCCACCGGCGACTGCCACGAACTGGCTTCGACTTGCCTGGCTTTACGATGAGACTGACCACGGCATTGATTTCCAATGGCCAGCTGCCTGTGAAGCTGTTTTCCTCCCCTTCCTTTGGGATGCCCATTGGTCTTTGCTGGTTTTGAGCTTTGCCGGCGGCTCTGTGCCCTCCGCTTCGCTCTTCGATGGCCTTGCCGGCCACAGCCTGGATGCTGCCCGGAGCCTCCTGCGCTTTGTGTGCAAGGTGTGTAATTTGTCCTGCCCGGATGTTGAGCTACCTCAGCTACCTCTGCAAACTGAGCCGACCTCATGTGGTCCCATGCTCCTTGCCTTCGCTGCTCAGGCCATGCAAGGATTCAACGATCCCTTTCAGGTGCTATACCAGGATGCTGTCAGCTTCTGTAATTGCATGCCACCACATAGTGCAAAGCTGTGGGGCCAAGGTGGACTTTCAGATGCTCAGCAGAGTTCCTTAAAGGCGCTGCTTGTTGAGAGAGGTGTTCCTGAGACAGCTGTCGCTGACCGGGTTCAAGCAGCGGTTCAAAAATTGGGCGCGGGGATCATCGCAAAATCCCTCTCGGCCGAAAACCCCTGGCAGGCTCTTAAAGCGGCCGGCTCAGCGCCGAACCCATTGTACCGCTGGGTCCGCCCTGAGGAACTCCGTGTATATGCCCAAAAGAAAGCCTCGCTGCAATTCGGCACTGCCGTCGGCAATGCCAAAGCCCGCAAGCAAAAGCCCGGCCGGCCCCTGAAACAGGCATTGAGTGTTGACCCTCTTTCTTTGCAGCTTGCAGCAGGGTCATTTGTGTCAGCACAGAACGCTCCTTTGGCCCAGCTTGCGTTCGATGAGGTTGTCTCCCAGGCGCAGGGCGTTGCCTTCTGCACGGCCCAGCAAATGATGCCCTTCATTGCCGACTATAAGCCGCTTAGCGTAGATGCCCTGGCCTTGATCTCCACCGCTCCGCTGCCAGCAGAGAGTTGTGCGGGAGCTCCGATCTCGAACATCCGCTTTCCAGCAGTGTTCTCTCCCACCCAAGAGGCAGTCCTCCTCAGCGGCTCCATGTTGCAATTGGGTGACGAACAAGTCCAATTGTCTTCAGCTGATGCAGACATGGGCGAGATCGACCAGCTTGATACCATCACTGGTCGGATCTCTCTTTATCGTGACGAGGCACAACTGGACTGGGAAGTCTTTGCTAAAGCCCCGGTGAAATCGCTCCTGCAACATGTTCCAGGCTTGAACCTCTGCCGTGACAAAAGCTGCAAGGGCGACTGTGCTTCCTTCCACCCGGCGGTGGATGAGCGTGTTGAGCACATGCTTCTTGATGTCTGGGCCCGGCAGTTCACTAAGCTTGAGGGCGGCAGAACCGATGCCCTTGCAGCACAGGTCTTCCAAACCTTGGTTCGAGTCCCGAGCTCAGCAGCCAAACACTTGCAACATGTCAGCGTGCCCGGTTTCTACTTTGAACCGCGAGCTACCACCGGCTTCGGGCCCCATCCGGCATATGCAGTTGTCTGGTTGCCCGGCCATGATAGGGCACAAGTTGTACACCTGCTTCGCACCTGTGACAAAGCCATCGGCTTGGCTCGCCTGGGCTCTAAGTTTGGGTTGCGGGTTCTCGACGAACATGAGCAAGCCGTCTTTCAGGAGCTGCGCCCGCAGCACACCTTCGTTAAGGTCAGGATACAGGCCCGCTGGAAGCTGCACCCTTTGCCCCACGGCACCCAACGCCATGCACTTGTGCAGTTGCTGAGCAAGTGGAAGTGGCCAGCCCGCCCACTGCAACCATGCAAGGGCGACTCCTCAGGTTGTGCTTGGGAAGTTGGCAGTGCAGTCGACCCCCCTGCTTCCATTATGCAGGCTGGTGACTCTTATGTGTTGATCCACAAGACCAAGGATGTTGGACCGCAGGCCCGACCAGAGGCCCTGTGTGCCTCTAACCGCACTCGGCGACGCATCCTGTACGATGATCCCGAGATCCCAGCTCCATCAGCCGATCCTTGGGCTGGCGGTTTGGACCCATGGAGTCTTGCACGCCCGCCGCCTGGTCTTCTTCCCCCTTCGGGGGCCGCCTCAAGCTCGGCTCAGCCTTCGGCTGCTGCAAGCAAGATCACGCAGGTGAAATCCGAATTGCAAGCTGGACTTGAAACTCTTGTCCGAAAGGAGGTCCAGACCGCCACCGCTGCATGCGCCGCCCCTGCGGCCGATCAGGACAAAAGGCTGTTGCAGTTGGAGTCCGGCCTCAATGAGGTCAAGCTCCAAAACAGTAAATTTGAAGAGTGGTTTGCCACTCTCGGTTCACAGATGCAGCAGCAAGCGAAGCAGGTCGTTGAGGTCCAACAAGCAGTGACTGCCCAAAAGGCCGAGATCGGGTCCCTTCGCACCGAGGTCTCCGGATCCATCATTCAGGCCGTGACCGCGCTACGCAGCGACATGTCCGAGCAACTCACCGCCCAGACGGCCTCCCTGGAGGCCCTGCTCTCCAAAAAGCACCGATCTGAGTGACTAGGCCGTCCCGGCTGCTTCCTTGGGTTTGGAGGCAGGCCGATGCGACTTGGGCCTTTCCGTTTTCTTCAGTTCCTGCTTTGGTTCAGTGCTCTGGCAGCCCCGGTCCAAGCATGCAGCTTTTCTCCTTTTCGCCGCTTTGGAGAGGCATCTCACCCAGGGCCCGAGCCCCTGGTGTCTTTTGGCACCTCCAACCCCAGCGGACTGCGAGGCAAGGAGCAACATGCGGCCGACCTCGGCCCTGGAGTTTGGCACTTCTCGGAGACCCAGCTCTCCGCTGTCGGTTTTACCTCTTCGTCTCGAGCCATCAAAGCACTCACGGGCAACATGCATCGGGATGTGCGCATTTTTGCTGGAGCCCCTGCCCCTTTGCGGCCTGGCTCCTTATCCGCCGGCTCTTGGACCGGTGTGCTTACAATGAGTGATTTTCCCTGCCGACCAGTGCAGCTGCAATGGCTGCATGATTCGTTCCATACTGGCAGAGTGCAGGCGGTGCACCATGTTGTTCACGGCACCTCTGTCTTCACTGCCAACGTCTACGGCTATCCCTCGGGAAAGACCTTTGTGGATGCCCGTGCTCGCACTGAGCGCCTTCTTGAAACTCTGACACATGAGCTGGTTCTCGGCCGCAAAGGCATTCGCCTGATCTCGGGAGATTTCAACCATTGGCACGACAATCTCGATCAGGTTCAGCTCTGGAAACAGCAAGGCTGGATTGAAGTCCAAGACCTCGCCGAGCAGCGATGGCATCGGCCATTGGTTCCCACTTGCAAAGGCTCCACACATCGCGACTTCATCTTCCTCAGCCCAGAAGCTGCAGCCTTGTGTCACGACGTCCGGGTCATAGATGTCTTTGCTGAGCATGCTACTGTAATCGCCGGGATGCGGTTGACTGGGGTCCACCGCCCTATGTCCTGGCCTCTTCCTTCAGAGATCCCCTGGCAGTCTGTGTCAGTTTCGGCATGGCAGCACGCCTGCCAACCAATTCCTCTTCAAGAGCCCAACTCCACACGTTGGCTGCAATCCTTTGCCCGCGATTTCGAGCGCAGCCTCAATGGATTCGTGAAGGATTCTCCCGGAGGCCAGCTGCCACACAGATGCCATGGTCGAGCACAGCGACTTTCCCCCGATCATGCTGCTCAGGTCCTTCCGCCAAAGCCGGCCCGACCTGGTGAAGAATCGGCACACCATGATTTACTTTCTTTGGAAGTCAAGCGTTGGTTCCAACAGCTCCGCCGACTGCAGTCTTTGGACCACGCCTTGAAGGCAGGCAACCCCTCGCCTAGTGCAGTTGAGTACCGCTTGGGTTTGTGGCGCTCAATTGTCGCTTCCAAGGGCTTCCATCCTACCTTTGCTGATTGGTGGCCCCTTCGCCCGGTTCGACTTGCCGGCTCCCCAACACAATTTCCTCCCTGGCTCCCTGATGCAGCTACCTGCCATAGACTTTTCTTGGACTTCCGTGACAACTTCCGAAAATTCGAAGCTTGGAACATTCGGCAACGCCGTGCCATTTTGGCCGAGCAATATGCGCAGAACCGCAACCTCCTGTTCCGTGACCTCCGTGACCCCAAGCCAGAACAGGTTGATACTCTTGAACTGCGCAAGAGCTACTGCGTATTGGCAGTTGAGCCCTCCACCTGCCACGTGCATTTGGACTCTATCATCGACACACGTGGTTGCAGCCAATGGCAACTAGACGGTTGCAGTGTGCAGGTGGACTCTGTTGTCGGCGATCTCTGCCGGATCCCCGGATGTGAGAATGTTGACGTTGATTGTGAGCTTGAGCAGACTATTCTTCTCTCCTCCGCAAAGGATGTACAGAACGAATTCGAAAAATTATGGTCTTCTTACTGGGGTCGCTTCTCCGACCCAGCCGCGGTTGATTGGTCACGTGTTACGGCTTTCGCACAAGCCTTCCTTCCTCGTTCCAGCCTGGCCCTCCCACCGATTGATTTGCCCCAGTGGCGTGCTGCCATTAAGCGCTTCAAGCCCCGCGCGGCCCGCGGAGCCGATGGCATTGCCCGACTGGACTTGCTCAACATGTCGGACGCTCATGCCCAACAATTGCTGCAGCTGTTTCGGGATATCGAGTTGGGGATTCGAGACTGGCCTGCTCAATGGCTTATCGGGCTGGTCTGTTGCCTGAAAAAGCCAAACGACCGTCAGGACCCTCAAGGTTTCCGCCCTATCTGTCTTCTCAGTTGCGCTTATCGTGCATGGAGCGGCATTCGAGCCAGACAAGTGCTGCAATGGCTTTCCCAACTCCTACCGGACACCGCCCTTGGCTTTATGCCGCACAAGGAGGCCTCGCAGTTCTGGTGGATCCTGGAAGCTCAGATCGAGCTTGCTTGTCAGCAGGACCAATCCATGGTCGGATTCTCCACTGATGTGGTAAAGGCCTTTAACGCCCTTCCGCGACAGCCGGTGTTCGCCCTAGCAGAGTGGATTGGCCTTCCCACCACCCTGCTGCAGCCATGGCAGGCATTTCTGACTGGACTGGAACGGCGCTTCCTACTGCGCCAAGCTGTGGGTGAGCCACTCACTTCCACATGCGGATTCCCGGAGGGATGCGCATTGAGCACGGTTGCCATGAGCCTTGTCTGCTTGGCCTTTCATGCTTATGTTGAAGCCTTCGCACCAAATGCGGTTCCTCATTCTTACGTAGACAACCTCAGTTGTACCGCGCAGTCAACAGGGCAGCTGGCTGCAGGGATCAACGTCACCCACACATTTTTGGACATGCTTGCATTGTCTACGGACGCCACGAAGACCTACGTGTGGGCGCTCCAACCGGCCCAGCGCTCTATGCTGTCCAGTGTGGGTTTGCGGGTGGTCGATCATGCTCGCGAGCTTGGTGGCAACATATGTTTCGGCCGAGCGGTCCGAAATGCCGAAATCGTGGGGCGCTGTCAAGCCCTGGCCCCCCTTTTTCAACGGTTGAAACGTTCTCCTTGTGCCTTTGCCGTCAAGCTCCAAGCCCTCCCGGCCAAGTTTTGGGCCAGTGCCCTGCATGGCATCTCGGGTTGCCCATTGGCTGAGGTCCACCTGGCCAGCCTCCGCACACAGGCCGTTCGTGCACTGCGCTGCTGCTCCGCTGGCTCTAGCCCGATGCTTCGACTTTCCACGAGTGGCTTGCTCGATGCCGATCCGGGCTTTTACCAATTGTGGTCCTCACTTCGAGATCTAAGGCGTTTGAGTGTCAAAGACGGACGGGTGATCCCTCTGTGGGCTGACTTTGTGGCAGGCTTTCAAGGCTCCTTGCTCCCGGGGCCATTCTCTAAGCTTCTGCAGGTTTTGAGTCAGATCGGATGGCGACTGGAAACTCCGCCATGTGTCACGGACCATGAAGGTTTTCAGCATGATCTCACCACAGCCCCATTGCCCCTCCTCCGCCAGCTCTGCGAACAAGCATGGCTTAACCACGTTGCATCTTTGCACCGCCACCGTCGCACCATGCACGACTTGTGGGGCATTGATCTCCCTCTCTTGCAGGCCGATGCCAGTCGTCTTTCGTCTCTGGACAAGGCTAGATTGGCTGCCTTGCAAAGTGGAGCCTTCATGTTCGGGACCAGTCATGCTAAGTTCGATGCATCCAAGGACGGCCTTTGCTCGTGCTGTGGAGTCCCCGACTCGCCTGAACACAGGGTGTGCAGCTGCCCTCTCTACGAATCGGCCCGGGGCCCTTATGCCTGGGTGTGTGCAGAGTGGCCCAGTCTCCCGGAGTGCCTGCGCACCCACCTTCTTCCACCATGCAATCCACATCTGCCTGCTCTTCGACAACAGCTGGCACGATTGCCGGATCGCTCGGGACAATTCGCCAGCCTCCGATGTACTGAGGGTCCGCAACATGTGTTTTGTGATGGCTCTTGCTTGTTTGCCCCAACTCCGGCCTTTGCTCTGGCGGCATGGAGCAGTGTCAATGCATGCACTGGTGAGCTTCTTTCGACTGGCCCGGTTCCCGGTCTTCAACAGACGGCCCCGCGCGCTGAACTGTGGGGTGCTATTGCCAGCCTCAAATGGGGGCTTCAGGTCGAGGTGCCGCTCACCTTGTGGACGGATTCCGCCATGGTGGGCAAGGGTATCCGTGGTCTCTTGGAGGGACGTTCACCTGGGTCCGATGAAAATCCAGACCTATGGCAGCTGTTGACTGAGCTTGTCGTAGCATACCCTGTAGGCTGGTTGTTGGTGCAGCATGTACCCTCACACCTGGACCCTGGTCTTGGCATCTCTCCTTTCGAGGACTGGCTTATCCGTTGGAACGGCCATGCAGATACCCTTGCAGGCCTCACAAACATCAACCGAGCAGTGGACCTTCAAGCAGCGCATCAGATGGCTTATAACTGGCACCTTCGTCATTTGGAGATTTTGCGCGCTTTGCGTGGAATCTACTTTGGCATTGCTGACATTACAGCTAAGTCGGGCCACACTTGCCCCCTGGAGGTGGATCCGGAGGATACGGAACTTCCCCTACCACCACCGGTACCTGCCTTGATTGATTCCTTCGAGGATGCGCTCCCCGTCACTTGGCGACAGCAAGCTCTGCATTCCTGCCCGGATCTCCCACAGCAGTTTGTGCAACAACTTTGTGACTTTCTTCTGCAGCAGGGCCAGACGGGCGAGCCATTGCGCCGTGTTTCATGGCTGGAATTGGTTTTTGTGCTACACGCTCATGGAGGCCCTCGGTTTCCGGTTCGAGCACTGACCTCTGGCCAATGGTCAAATCAGGCTGATGTCCCGCTTGGTGCCCCAGCTCTCACCGTGGCTGTACAGATGAGCCTCCTTAGGAAGACGCTCCGCCGGATTCTGGCGGCTCTGAGAAGGGATGACATGTTGATCGATGGTCTTTTGCTTTTGGAGTTCGGGGTCACGTTCCGAATTGGTGGGATTCTGATTTCTGTTGGATCTTCGCTCCTTCAGGCCGCCCGAAACCAGCTTTTTCAGTTCTGCGCCGGCCGCAAGGTTTGTACAGTTGGTGACTTGGCCAGGCTGCCTTGAGACACGTCAGACTCATCGGACACTCGCCTGCGGTTCCGCTGCTGCTGAGCCCGGGCGTGCAAGCTGTGTGTGCTATAACCGCCCATGAACCTCCCAGCATGACAGGTCAGTTGGCTGAGCATCGTTGCGTCCACCGGCGCATTGCGCTGCTTGGTTTGCAAATTATCTTTGAGAGTCCGGCTCCTGAGTCGTGGGCTTCCTGTAAGGGATTTATAGGGCTTAGGATAGGGGCCTTAATAATTCGAATAGGGTTCCTTTACAGGGGTCTATAAGGGATTACTTTAATGGGTTAACCTTTTTGGCTTTTGGGGTATTCTGATCCCAACGTAATCCAGCCCGTAGCAAGGTTCCCTGATCCCGAACATGGACTCCAAGCCTCAGTGAAACCCTGACCCAAGCCCCAAGAAAAGTTGGTTCCAAACTTCCAACCCTGTGTCCTAAACTCGGTTCCAAACTTCCAACCCTGTGTCCTAAACTCGGTCCGGAAGGTTGGGGTGCGGTGGAAGATTTCTTGGTGACTAGGGGCATGCGGGGTTTCTGGAGCTTGGGGGGGGGCCTGGGTTTCGCGGCTTGAGGAGTTTAGGGGTTTACCTGTGACCTTCAGCACTCTAAAGGAACGAACAGCTTCCAACCGACACTGCTATAGGGGCCTAAATAGTTGCCTATACTATTTTTGGGGTTCCTTATTAGACTTATAGTATAATGGACCCCAAAATCTTCTTCTAATTGTTACGGACCCTATACTACAGTCATGTGTTTCCGGTTTAGGCTTCAGGAGGTCATCAGGGTCACACTCGTCCCTAGCCCCAAAGCCTCAAGGGGCCTTTAGGGCTCTTCGAGAGCGTCTTCTTACGTGCAGCGTAAGGGTCCTTCTATGTCGTTTTCTTTTTTTTTGTTTGGTTCCAGGGGTTGGGATTATTATGTTCATAGTCTACTGCGCCCCAAAACCCTATTCTAATAATACAGGCCTTTCATCTTGCTGTGGACTTCAGTGGTTTAGGGATTTTCATGGCTTGGAGGATGAGTCAAAAGGGGTTTTAGGAGGGCGGGTTTGAGGTGTAGATGCGGCATCTGCGTCCTTGAGATGAAACGCCCAACCAAAACCATGAGGCTTTATATCAGGGCTTAAGTGTTCAGGGTTGGAGCTTAGGGTTTAGGATTTTGGGCTGAGCTTGAGGGTTTAGGGCTGGACTCGTTAGCAAGTTTCGGAGGCTATGCAGCTCCAAGTGGCGCGAACGGAGGGGTGTCCGTCGCCGACGACGTCTTCTTTGGGCAGGACCGGGGAACCCAGGTCTGGAGCCCTCAGGGGGGCTCCGAAAAACCACCTTTAAGTAAGACGTCTACCCTAGACCATAGTTCCCTAGACTCTAGTCCCCTAAGCCCTAAGCCCTAAACCCTAAACCGCCCTAGTCTCTGAAGCTTTACAAGGGGTAGGAACAGGCTTCTATACAGGTTCTTTACTAGGTATCGATGTGGGATCATTTTACTTTCCCCTGTTGTTGAATATAGAGCCTTCATTCTAGATGAATTTGGGGACTGTTGAAATCGACCCCTGGTTCGGAGTTCAGGGTTGAAGAGTTAATGGGCTTAGGACTCTGGGATGTAGGGTTTTGGGCTTCGAAATTTCGGCTTTGCTTACGGAAAGCCCGGAAAGGATTCAGATCCCTACTATAGGGGCCTAAGTTCCTTCTTAGACTTATAGTACAATAAGACCCTATTCAAGTTTTTTACAGGCCCCAACATTAGATCCCTGAAGCTTCGAAGCTTGACACCCAAACGGCAAACTGCACGAACCTCATGGGTCTAAACCCTGAGAACCTCTGCCCTGAACCCCAAAGTGCTACACTCTCTCAGCGCAAGACACTCCCCATCACAAAGCTTAAGAGCCGTTTGAAGAAGAGGAATGCAAAGAAGGCTAAGCTCTCCAAATCCGACACAAGACACGCATCTCAGAGCTAACCCTAAGCCCTAAACCCTAGATCCTATAGATCCCTTAAAGGAACCTTCATAGTTCCCCCCAAAACGAACCCTAAAGCCTAAATCGATAAAACCCGTAAAGGATGGGGCCGTCTGCGTCGTCACGGCTTGGCAATCCCACAAGAAGCGCCTCGACATACTGTTGATGATACAAATCCTGCATTACCCATAATAAGGAATATACCATAATTCCCATGGTTTAGGGTCCATAAGGTAATGCAGGATTTATATCATCAACCGTAGGTTTTCAGTTTCGAGAGTCTAGAGGAGGACTGGATGCAGAGCATGAGGGCTTGTTTAGGGTTCCTCAATATGCTTTCCTTATTTAAGTCCTTAGGCTATCGGAGGTTCAGGTATCTTCCGTTTGGTAATTCGCGGGTAAGAACAAGCAGAACAAGGGATTCCCGTATATTCCGTATTATTGCCGTGGTCCAGCATGCTCCAAAACCCTCGAAGGGGTTGCTGTGTTTGACTGTGATGGCTCAAAATATGTGGGTGGTTGTCAAAATTATGGTCCCTTTTTGGGCACCCTCAATATTAGGTGCCGTACTATATTAGGGACCCAAAAAGGAACCATAATTTTGACAACCACCCATGTATTGTTCCGTCCAGGCATCAGACAGGCGTTTAGGGTTGAGGGTTAGCAGGCTGAGCTGCGAAGCATTCCTTAGATAAAGGAAGCCTTTACGCTCAGCCCGAAACCCTAAACCCTAAACCCCTTAACCCTAAACCCCTCAACCCTAAAGCCAAGACACAAACCGCAAACACGAAGGCGTAGACGGAAGGAGCCCCGAATTCCTTGGGCGTGTAGTGATGCCCCAACGGAATCGGATCGTCCGTACATGATTCTGCCATAGTAGAACCACAGTAGAACGCAAGCACTTTGTACGAGAGATACTCTGGAACCTTTCTTCAAATTACTCCTGCCTCTATCGCTAAGCCCGAGGCCCTAAACCCTGAGCCCCTAAACCCCTAAACCCCTAAACCCCCTAAACTCCCAAAACTCCCAAAACTCCTGAACCCCTCTACCCTTCTTCACATGATTCTTTCTCAGAGTTTGACCAGCCCCGTCTCGCTCCGCAGATTTAGAGCTTGGAAGTGTGGGCTGTAGGGTTTAGGGTTCAGGGGTGTAGGGTTAAGGGGTTTAGGGTTCAGGGTTTGGGGTTTACGGTTTAGGGGTTTAGTGTTGAGGGTTTTCGGGTTTAGGGCTCAGGATTTGGGAGTTGGGGTTCAGGGGTTTGGACTTCGGGGCCAGGGGTTTCGGGGTTGACCCAGAGACTCCAATATCCCTTAATTAAGGAATTTTCCTTAAATTATATTAGGAACCCTAATATCATTTAATGTACAATCCCTACTAAGGGATATTGGAGTCTCTGGGTATATATATATATATACACACACACATGCACATACATACATATGGGAATTGGACCCTAATCTAGTGCCCTAAATTGTAGGATCCCTGTTAAGGGATATTGGAGTCTCTGGGGAGTTGAAGCCTTAAGCCGAGGCACCAAACCACGTTCGTGGCCATTCGTCCCCGACCCTGGCCGACGCTGCGGCAACTTGAAGGACTTAGATAGTGAACGGGGGAACTTTACACTTCTTAAAGGCCTTATATATTAAGGCCTTATCTATTAAGGCCTTATATATTATCTCTATCTTGGAAAGTTTGAACTTTTTTGGGGCCCGGTTGTTGAAGAAGAGAGAGGAGCAATCAGGGGGACTGGTTCGGGGCTTTGGTTCGTCGTGGGGCTCTGGGGTTTTCGGCTGTACGGTTTGGGGTGGATCCTGCATGAACACACGCAGTACTTGTATTTGTATGTGCATATGTATGTGTATGTAAATGTGTAGGTGTAGGTGCAGGTGTAGGTGTATGCGTCTGCGTCTGCGTATGTGTATGCGCCTGTGTGTGTACGTGCACGTGTAGGTGTACGTGTATGTGTATTTGTATGTGTACGTGTATGTGTTTGTATGGATACATACATATCTATATCTGCCGATCTATCTATCCCTTTATCTGTATACCTATCTAAGCACCTATTCATCCCTCCCTCTGTCCATCTTTGTGTCTATGTATCTGTCTATCTGTCTATCTATCTTTCTATCCGTCTATCTATCTGTCTACCTGTCTATCTGTCTATCTGTCTACATCTCTATCTTTTTGCATATTATATACACATACGCATGTGTGGGTATATATATATATATATATGCACATGTATGATATAGGGATACCCCAGTATACGAAGGAGGGGGTGATGGACGGTTCGGGATCTTGGATTCTGGGTTCGGGGTGTAGGATTCAGGGCATAGCGGCTTTCGTGTATTTCGCTGTCCGCGTTGTGGGTTCAAGGCCTGGGGTATCAGAGGTCCCGGGGGGGAGCAGCGAGGGCCCTGTTGTGGGGGGATCTGTGGATTAAACGCTCAGAAGCATCCTTCGAGGCCAGGTTCCGGGTGTAGATAGAAATGGGAATGTGGGGCTTCGGGCTTCACTCTTGAGTTATGGGGTTGTTATGAGTTATGACTGTTGATTTGTGCATGTCGGCTGTAGTCCGAAAGTAGAATGAGGAGTGTGCGTGGTAGAGTCAGGTAGGACACGCTCACCACACTTCGCGATTCAACGCCCTGAACTCCGGAGGCGAAGTTTCGAGCCCTACTTGGAGGTTCAGGGGTAGTTATAAGCAGGGTTACAAGTCCCCTTATATGGATCATAAGTACAGTTACCCTACTTATGACCCTACTTACAACTAGCCATGAACCTCCAAGTAACCCCTAAACCCTATACCCTTATAGAATCCCTATAGATCCCTTCAAGGGGACCCTTAAAGGAACATGACGGATGGTCATCTCCCAAAGCCCAGGTATGACTTGGATGCCGTGGCCGTGAGCGTCGGTGAGGCCCTGCACCCACTTAACCCGAGGCCGCACAAAGAGCAGGGCCTCATGAAGCCGTGGCACCCTGGCTCCAAGAATTCTTGGGTTTTGGGTTTGGGGTTTAGACTAGCATAATATAGGGGCCTAGAAAATTACCTATACTTTTTTTTGGGGCTCCTTATTGCAATGATAATAGAATGGGCCCCAAAAACCCTATTCTAATTATGAAGTCCCCTTTTGTATGTGGCAAGTGGGCGATGGTCTTTAAGTTTTTTATTTTCTGTTAGAGGTGAGACTGTTGGGGGGTGCATTCACGTATTCCTCGGCGGCCAAGACGTAGACTCGACTTTGGGGTACTTGGAGGTTCATGGGTAGGTATAAGTAGGGTTATAAGTAGGGTAACTATACTAATAACCCATATTAGGGGACTTATAACCCCACTTATAACTGCCCATGAACCTCCACGTATAGGTGAGCAGGGAGCGCCATGCGCAGTGCAAGGTGAGTCTCCTGTACTTGGGTTGACGGTGGAGGGCCTTGAGGGTTCATAGGTTTTATAGGTGTTATAGGTATTCTAGGCATTACAGGAATTGTGGGTATTATCGGTATTATAGGTATTATAGGTTTTTATAGGTATTGTAGCTTTTCGTAGTGAAGTGAGTAGTTTTCGTCTCGTTGGATTCTCCTGCAGGATTGGCTGGGGTTCGATGAGCTTTTCTGAGGAGCGGGTTTTCAGCATGAATGCTGAACCCCCTAGCGCAAACTAGCAGCGATGGGGGCTGAACATCCCAGAGACTCCAATATCCCTTAACGAAGGAATATTCCCTAAATTATCGTAGGATCCCTGATATAATTTAAGGTATATTCCCGAATTAAGGGATATTGGAGTCTCTGGGATCTATTCGGGTCCTGCTGTTAGCCGTCTTCGAGTTGAGGATCCGGGGGTTCTTGTTTGGTACCCTAAACCCTAAACCCCTAAACACCGAAACACTGAAACCCTAAACCCCTAGACGCCGAAACCCCTAAACCCTAAACCCCTAAACGCCGAAACCCCGAAACCCCTAAACCCTAAGCCCCACGTCATCCCGTGAGTCTGTGAGCATACCCCATGATGATCTAGTTCTGATCCACGGCGAATGCGAGTATGTTCTCGCATGCCCGTTAGGTAGACTTATAAGTACCCCAAGAGGGACCCTAACTGGTGTTATGATACTTACAAGTCTATAGACTAACCAACATGTCCTGGGCCCTAGTTGGGCTTGTGGTTTTGCGCCAATGACATGCTCAGGACCTTCAGCATGGCATGCGACGTCAGCGGCGCGGCAAGCTCTACGAGCTTCACCTATGACCGTATCTTGAACATGGGCCGCTCTGCTGCTCCAGCTATATACACACATGCACATGCATACATATGGGAGTTTCCGAAAATAGGGGACCCTAATCTAGTACCCTAAATGGTAGGATCCCTATTATAAGGACCCCAGAATAAGGTACCCCCCCAAGTTTCGGAAACTCTAAACCTTAAACCCTTTATAGAACCCTCATAGATCCTTTAAGGAACTCTTCTAGATCCTTCAAAGGCGCCCCAATTTTCGGAAACTCCTATATTCTTTTTGCTGATATGGATGGTCGCGACAGGAGCCCCCACTTTAGGTGCAAGGCATGGGGGGTTTAGGGTTTAGGGTTTATGTAGCACCGAAGCATGCGGACACCAGAAGTTGGCTAACTATACTTATAACCCCATATTAGCGGGACTTATAACCCCGATTGTAACTACCCATATACTATTCTGTCGGGTTCCTGATGATGAGTATAATGCCAGCATACCCTAGAACCCTTCTCTCATTCTTCAGCCCCCACGACGACCTCATGGGTTTGGGATTCTCTCTGAACCTTTTCTCGCTCAATCATGATGATAACTTCAAGCATGAATGGTGTTTTATTCCTGTTACTTTATTGCTCTAGAAGACAACCGTGCATGTGTGCCCTTAGCCATAGTTTTGCCCTCTACTGAAGTGAACGAGGTGTTTTGGTTTCTGCTGACCTGCTAGCTATACTCGCAGTGTGCGAAAAAAAACGCACCGATGTGCCAGCGCTGCCGTAGAATCGGAATCATACTTGGAGGTTCGTAGGTAGTTATAAGTGGGATTATAACAAGGGTAGCTATACTTATAACCCATCTTAAGGGACTTATAACCCCACTTATAACTACCCCTGAACCTTCAAGTAGGGCCTCTACAGCAGAACCATAGGGTCTCCGAAGAATGGGCCCAGGGCCCCCATGAGCATATCTTTTTGGCAGGCTCTTACACCCCCGAAGCCGTAAACCCTGACAGAAGCCCAAAGAATGGGACAACCCTGAACCCCGAAATCTTTAGAAGCCCTGAACCCTAAAAGAAGCCCAAAGAATGGGACAACCCTGAACCCCGAAATCTTTAGGGTTTAGGGTTTAGGGTCCAAGACCTGATATCATTGTACGGATTTGAGGACTTCTGGTTACCTTTGGTTCCTCCATTCCCCACTAACCAAAGGTAAGTTTAGGGTCCAAGAACGGATTTGAGGGCTTCTGGATGTTTGGCGCACTTTTCCTCGAACCCTGAAGCCCTGAAGCCCTAAACCGTAAAAGCAGAGCCTTTCGGGTCCAAAACCTGACATCATCATGCTACGGATTTGAGGACTTCTGGATGGGTAGTTATAAGCGGGATTATAAGTAGGGTAACTATACTTATAACCCATATGAAGGGACTTAACCCACGGATTTGAGGACTTCTGGATGGCCACCCGATCCTCGACATCAGCTCGAATGGAGCCATCACGGTGGCGCCAGCGGGCACCCTGAGCATCCCGGTCCACAAGCAGATTGAAGTTCGAGGCATAAACTAGGGTTGCTTTACAGGGTGCTTATAAAGGGTCTATCAGGGTTACTATAAGGGCTACTATAAGGGCTTAGTATAGGGGCCTCAATGTTTACTTATTACTATTTTGGGAGTTCCTTATCACAATTGTAATTTATAATGGGCCCCAAAACTCTATTCCTATATTAGATTACGGTGTTTCGTGTCTTGGGCGCAAGGTAGTTAGACATTTCCACTCATTGTCTAGTTGTGTCGCGCCCCACATGCGAAACCAGGTGGTTCTTGGGACCTTCGCATGCCGATTCTGTTGGCCATACATATGGCTGGAGTCATCATATCAACCTATAAACCTAACTCTACACCCTAACCCCCGCCGAGGCCCTGCAGCTTCAAAATTAACCCCATTTCGAGAGTAGCAGGAGCCCAAAAGCTGGTTTGACACCAACGTCCTACCTGGTATCTTGTAGAAGCTGCCCCCACCCTGTAACAGTGGTATAATAGGAACATAATAGGGCCCTAATATAATCCTTATATGTGGGGGCAGCTTCTAAGGTATCTTGTTCAGCGTTCGTGAATTTACGGGCTGAAGGCTTAAGAGCTTTAGAGTTTGGGGGCTCGGCGAACGGGTTCAAAGATTCTGTTATTTGGGGCCGTCGGTCTTACAGCCGAAGACCGAAGACCGTCTCTTCAAAACCATGCTCTTGTTGTGTGCCTACCGGGTAATTATCCCTAGACTGCAGCGCTGGGGAGCGCTATGGAAATAGCCCCTGAAGAGTGCCGCAACCTCGTCAGGTCCTACAACAGTTAGAAAGGAGCCCTCTGCAGACTGGGCGCATTGGGCGTTCCTTAGTGCTCTACTAGTTTCTACTTTAACCTACTATGGTCCACCATAATCTGCTATAACATACTACAATATACTATGGCTCCGACCTTGCACGTCAAGCCCTGGGCCGAACTCGAACACTTGCTTCATTCCGAGAGTACATAGAGAAAGATGGCCCTAAACCCCAAACTCGCTTTTTGTTGGTAGTTGCAGGTTTGTCAAAACCGGATTTATGTTGCAAGGGCTGTTGCAGAAGAGAGTGAGACGACGTTCAGGTGAGCTGTTCGATGCACTCAGCGTTTCGGGATCGCAGCGGAAGGCGAGGTTTGCTTCCTCCGAGCAACCCTGAAACCCTCTGCCCTGGAACCCTGAACCGTAAGCCCGCACCAAAAACTCCAAGAACTACCAGTCCAGCACGCCTAATGTCTTCCTTCGTTCAGGGTTTAGAGGCTGGCGAATTGCTGGTACCCGTACTTGGAGGTTCATGGAAGTTATAAGTAGGGTAACTATACTTATCATCCATATTAGGAGACTTATAACCCTAGTTGTAACTGCCCTAACGCCTAAACCCTAAACCCTATAGAACCCCAAAAGGAACCCCAACCCTACTTATAACTACCCCTGAAACCTCCAAGTAGAGGCTTGCGGATTGCTGGTCCCCGTAGGACAGTAAGCAGGGCCGGAGGGTTCAGAGTTCAGAGCCCGGGTCTTTAAAGTAGGGTTTACGGGGTGTAGGGTTTAGGGCTTAGGGTTTAGGGGGTTTAGGGTTTAGTGTTTAGGGTTTAGGGTTGAGGGTTTAGGGTGTAGGGTTTAGGGTTCAGTGTTTTGGGCTTAGGGTATAGGGTTTAGGGGGTAGGGTTGGCATGGCAGGGGGTTTTAGTGAGGGTTTTTGGAGCTCCATGGGAACCTTAGTGAGTGTATACATTGGGTTTTCATTATAGGGGATACCGGTAACAACCCTAAAGCCTAAACCTGGCATGATTTGCCGACAGTTTTGGAAGCGCCCAAGCCAGAGGCCGCAGATACTTCAAACCACAGCAAAGATCCGAGCCAGGCTAAGGCACTGAAAAGCAACCCCAGTGCTGACTAGAGTATAGGGGAGTAGCATGGGGGGCCTTAATGGTTCGACCAGGCCTTTGGGGGAATACTATCCTATAATCGTAGTAAGGAGCCCCCAACTAGTATTGGGAATTCTTCAGGCTTCTACATTAAGTGCGTTTTTTCAGGGCTTGAGACCAACGGCAAGACCCTCCAAGAGACAGGTCCAAGAGCCCCAGCTCCCAGACAAGCCTTCCAACAAACAGGCCGTAGGAAATCAACATACCCTAAATCCCCCTAAACCCTAAAGCCCACAAGCCCTAAACCCTGAAGCCCCAAACCCCAAACCCTAAACCCGAAAGCCCTAAAATCTAATCCCTCAACCCAAACCCGCCAACCCTAAAAGCCTGAAGCCTATCCCGAAGCTTATCTTCAGGGCACACCCAAGTCTTTGTACAACATATAGCCAGTGAACAGTACTCCAAGGCAACTGTGAGGTCTTAAGAACCCAACATTCCTGAAACCCAAACCCGATAGCGCCACCATGAAGCCCTAAGTCCTAACCCCTAAACCCCCGAAACCTTAAACCCTAAACGCTAACCTCTAAACCCAAAACCCCTAAAGCCTCAAGCCAACCCAAACCCGAAGTTCCCAAGAGGCCTTCACTTTGGGATGCCGGGTCTTCGGCCTCTTCCCCGATCCGGAGCTGCCTCCGGCACCCCTGCTGCCAGGGTTTAGGGTTTAGGGTTTAGGGTTTAGGCTTTAGGGTTTAGGGTTTACCTAGACCCTCCAAAGTAGGTAAGATAATGGCCCAAAGCCGATAAAAGCCCATTATTCTACATACTTTTGGTCCTACTTTTGGGGTCCAAGTAGAGGGGATTGATGCGGGTTTACAGGCTTCTCTACAAGTTTTACAGGGTTTCATAGGATTTTCTCGGGTTTGATAGGGTTTGTCGAGGGTTTATGGGGTTTCACAGCGGTTCACAAGGTTTCGCGAGGATCTGTTGTGTTTTTTGCAAGGGTGTCGGGGTGCCATAAGTGTGCTGCCAGTGGTTCTTTTTTACTTGGTTCAGTTTTTCTTTGCAGGGTCTTTCAGGAGTCTCCGCATAAATTGATGATTAAGGCCCTCGTATTAGGCTTCTTGAAAAGGGGGTTTTGCACTTTTTTGTTCGTTGCTGTGGTCGAAGTTGCAGGCGCTACTGTTCCGATCCAGGTGCTAATCGCCGCTACCCCCAGTCCGACAGTTTTGCACGTGTCTTGAGCCCAAGCCTTGGCCTTCATAAAATTAAGCCTACCTTAACCCCAAATCGGAAACTCCCAAATCGCACTGACTGCCCATATTTTGCCGGGCCCTGGAAGTCGGTAAGCCCAAACTCGAAGGCCCTCGTCACTTCTACACCTAAACCCAACGCCCTAAACCGAATTCGTTTAGGCCTTCCGTGTGCTTAGGACCGCATAGGTTTAGGGTTTAGGGTTCGAATTCGTATCATCCCCTGCCCCGGAAGATCCAAAGCTCGGAATGCTGAGGTGGAGACGACTCTGAGCATCGCAGTGCAGGATACGGTCTGCTGGGTTCCACAGAACATCAAGGCACCTCTGCATAAAATCGAGCTGTCCCCAGCTCTTGTTGCAGCTGGCCTAAGCAGGGCTCAGCAGGACCGTGACGGGGCTTCAGGTCGTAGACTCCTGCAGGAGTGTTGGAGTTTTTTTGCCTTGGGGCTGCAAGGGCTTCGGATCCTCAGGTAGGGTTTGCGGTTCAAGGTCTGGGGTTTAAAGGTTCAGTGAGGTTGACGTATGCCAGGCAGGGCAAAGCAAAGAGCCCTAGACAACAACACTTTGTTCATAACCGTGCGTTTTGCAGTAGCCTCACGCCTTGTTCGGTCCTCTGCCCAAAACGCTGGACACGAAACCTGGAGCCTTCCTGAGATTAGATTCCCCGAACAAGCGTAAGCTACACCGCTAAAGCCTGAAAAAGCAGAACGCCCTGACAAGCACCGTCAAACCCTAAACCCTCAAAGCCTTAAGAACCGTTAGTCGTCAAACCCTAAACCCGAAAAGCCTTAAGAACCGTTACCGTCAAACCCTAAGCCCTCAAAGCCTTAAGAACTGCTAAGCCCTAAAAGCTCTAAACCCTGAACCCTGACCTTCTCACTCATCGCAGGAGTAAGGCCCTCCTTCTAGGCATCCTCTGAGCCCCACAACCCCACAGGCCCCAAATCTCCAAAGTCCTAAAGTCCAAAAAAGCACCGAAACCCTACGATTTTGCACCCCCAAGGCCTTAAATCCTGAAAATCCTACAACCCCTAATGCACTGAATGCCCTCCCCCCTCTCCAACAGAAAAAGCAAAAGACTGTTCGGAGCTCCCTACACCCTAAACCCTAAAGTTGTGTGCTCAGTTCTGTCGTTTGAGTTCTATGTGAGTGTAAAAGTCCTTGTGGATCCCGCACTTCCAGTCAAGCACTGAATCCGGGCATTCTGTTCTGACGTAGCTTTGTCTCCGCTTTGGTGAGGGGCCATTGGTGGTAGTACGGGGCAAGTTTAAGTGGTTATTCGGTGGAGAATCCCTAAACCCTAAACCCTAAACCCCTAAACCCTAAACCTCAAACCCTAAACCCCTAAACCCCTAAACCCTAAATCCCCTTATTAAGCAGGCCCCGAACCGATTGCCTCAGCCTGTCGGGCGTTCCGGACACATGAGACTCATGCAGATGGAGAAGGGGTGACAATAAAACCCTGCCCCGAAACCCTAAACCCGAAACCCTGCCCCTGAACCCTAAACCCTAAACCCTAAGCCCTGAACCCTAAACCCTAAACCCTAAACCCTAAACCCGAAACCCAAAACCCTATAGACCCTAAACTCTGCCAGGGCATTGGCCTGCCGGATCCCGACGCCAATACGGAGGCCTTCCCGACTGTTGAGCTCCTTTTTGCTTGAAGGGCGGTCTAGGAAGTCTAAAAACCCGTAAAATCGGGTCCTTAGTAATTAGAAGCAGGTTTTGGGCCCCGTCGTACTATATGTATAATAAGGAACCCCCAAAATAGTAGTGGTAAGTTTTTTAAGCCTAGACAGAAGCGTGTTTGGGAAGTTTCGCCCCAAATCCCCAAACCTCCAGTGTTTTCGGCTTAGGGTGTCGAATGTTAGGGTGTAGGTTTAGGAGTCGGCGTCTGCCCTTTCGGATTTTGGATCAGGCATGAAGCTAGCCATGAATTTTCCAGGCCTCTCATGCCCCAAAACCCCGAACCACAAATGCTAAGCCTAACATAAGCCCAAACCACTGGCCCAACACCTGAAGCTGTCACACCAAGATGCGAAACCACAGGCTCTCGCACAGAGGTCTGAATAAGTAGTAACAGTATCCAGTCATCGTCTTACTAGATTAACTTAAAAGGTGCCCCAAATCCCAGTTGGTTTATTCTGGCCCATGTTTTTTGCTGGAACTCGACCTGATGCAAACGAGAACCAGGAAAAAAACACGTAGAAAGCTCAACGCGAATAGCGGGCTCTGTTTGTTCAGGAGGCCGGGGGGAACCCTTCAAAGGACCCTTCACGGAACCTGGTTTCTTGTTTATGCTTGAACCCCCACAAACCCTAAATCCCAAACCCTCGATCCATTGGACTTTCTGTCTGCTCCAGTCCGCTTGCCTGTCTGCCCGCTGTTTGACCGTAACCCCTAAACCCTCAACCTTCAAACCTTGCGCCCGAAACCCCAAACCCCGAAACCCTAAACCCCTAAACCGTACGCCCTAAACCCCTAAACCCTTAAACCGTAAACCCCTAAACCCTAAACCCAAGAGCTCAGCTGGAGGCCATGTGCAGATCTCGGTGCCGCGCAGACAAAACCTGCGCGAACTACAAGTTTGAGAGCCAGTGCATGAGGCAGGGCTCTTTGGATTGTTTTCTGAGAGGTGATTTAAGGTTTAGGGTTCAGGGTGTAGGGTTTAAGGGCTTGACAGAATTTAGGGTTTCTGCGGGCTCTTGTCGGCTTCTTTATCGGTGGGTCTCATGAGGTTTTGTTGGGATTGGGGATGTAGGGGTGTGGAAACCCCTAAACCCTAAACCCCTAAACCTGAACCTTTACATCCTAAACCCCTAAACCCCTAAATCCTAAACCCCTAAACCCCAAAACCCCTAAAACCCCTAAACCCCCGAAACCCCTAAACCCCAAACCCCCAAACCCCTAAACTCAAACCAAGACCTCGGCTGCAGGTTTAGGGCTGCTGATCTCTGAGCCCTCAACTTAGGGGTACTTAGAAATAGATTTTAATTTTTGGTTATTATAATCCCTAAGAAACAGCTAAAAGTATAATTTTTGTAGGGTTCTAAGTTCAGTATAGTCAACCTTTGAAGTTAATGCCAGGTTTGTAGCGGTCTAAGGTTCAGGACTTAGGGTTTAAGGGGTTTTAGGGTTTAGGGTTTAGGGTTCAGGGTTTAGGGTTGAGGGTTCAGGGTTCAGGGTTTAGGGTTTAGGGTTCAGGGTTGAGGGTTCAGGGTCTAGGGTTTAGGGTCTGGGGCTTCCGTGGTTCCTCAATTGAGGCCGGAGTTACCCGAAAAATCCGAATCAAGCCTTCTTTCCCTGAGCCCTTGAGGGAAAGATCGCCGTCTTGAGTTTACGATGCATGGCTGAGATTTCTGCTTCGCGACTTTTGGGTTCGGGTTCAGAGCGTAGGGGTTTCAGGGGGCAAGGTCCGATTTGAGGCTGGAACCCCAAATTTGCATGGGGCCCGAAGCCCTCCGTCAAGCATCGTGCCTTAAACCCTAAGCCCTAGTACCTGCGTGAAGAGCTTTCAACAAAAAAAGACCCCGAAGCCTAAAAGCCTAAACACCGAAACCCCTGAACCCCTAAATCCTAAACCTCTAAACCCCTACACGTAAACCCCTAAACCCCGAAACCCTGAATCGTCGCTACGTCCTGCAGGTATGATGTTCGCTCGGATGGGAACCAGGTCGGGGTCATTGCCAAGGTCACCAACTGCACCAACGAGGGTACCTGCTCCACGTCTGCAAGGGACTTCGGATTTCGGGTGTGGGGTTTCAGGGGCATATGTTGAGATCACTTCCGAGGATGTTTGTGGTCTTGAGCACTTGTCCTTTCTACGATCCGGTAGTCGCAGTTACACTGTTGGATCGTTGCGACTTCGCCAGGTTCCCAGGGTGTGTGCTGCAGTGTTTCAAATCTCAACATCTAGCCTTTATCGACATGCCCGGCTCGAAACGTTAAAGGTCAGATCCAGTAAACCCTAAAACTCCAAGCTCGCAACCTCAAAATTCGAAGCTTTAACGCCTGAAGCCTCAGCTTCGAAATGACCGCGCTCAGCAGATAGTATCAAAGGGACACCTTTGTGTTGTGATCGGCACGCTCACGGCAGTGGCCAGAATCATGATAATGAGAACAAGTAGAACGGTCACAGCAACGGGTCGCAACAATGGTAGCATGCTGTATGGTGGTATCAAAAATCATGAACTTCAGAAGCCGTGTTGCTGCAGGTATGAAAGTGACACATTCCGAATGGTACCTTGCCGGTGTGTACTGTCCTTTGGGCAGAGACGCAGTATTGGGTGGCATCGTGTACCTTCGCGAGCACGTCACGCAGCAGGACATGGTGTAACTTGGACGCTGTGGATGGATTGCTTGCGGCTGCAGTTTTTTGTAGATATCGTTATCAACTAGGCCCCCTCATAGTTCTTACATAAAGCGCCCCGAATGTTGGTTTCTTCAGTTGGGGAAGGTCCCTCTGAATCGCCGCGGTTCACTTGGAGCGGAACCCTAAAGTAAACACAGCTCACTTCGGACTGAAGCAACTTTCGGAGGAGGTTGGCACTGGCAATCGATAGAGAAAGCGGTTTCCATTCTCCGGGACTACGAAACCAAAACCACAGCAAGGGTCGCCCAAGTTCCATGACACTCCAACTCACATGTCATCCTTTCAGAGCGACAGGCGACAAGCTCTAAGCCCTTCAACAGTATCCTGGGTAGTGTTAGGGAGACCCCTATTGTAAACTCCAAAAAGTTGGAAGCCTAATTAAGGACAAATCGTGCTGGGATTCCCTATACTTTGCTCTTCGTGATTGAGGCTATCGGGTTTCCAACTTTTAGGCTTCTGCTGTAAAAGGAGACCCACTAAGGGAACCCTTCTTAACCCTACTTCTGGGTCTCCTAATAGGGACCTTATTGAGAGGGTCTACATCTCAAGGCTTCCCTGTATCCTAACTCCTACACCCCAACTTGGCGTTCTTCTGGTTGGCTCTTAGGACTTTGGCTTTTTGGGTTTCTATATGAACCATAAAAAGGAGGCTGAATTTTTAATTTTTAGGAGGGGTCCAGAAGTCAGCCAAGCTAAACCCTAAACCCCAACACCCTCAACCTGTAAACCACAAGACTTTAAAGATCGTTGGAGTTTTGGTGCTCGTCGGCTGTGCAAAGGTGGACCTTCTTCTTGCTCTTTAGGGTTTGGGGTTTTGGGTTTTCGGGTTTAGGGTTTGGGGTTTAGGGTTTAGGGATTGGGGTTTAGGGTTTGGGGTTTAGGGTTTAAGGTTTGCCGGGACTTCAAGCCCTTAGGCCTTAAAAGAAAGCAATTTGCAACCAAGAGAGACTTCACTTGCCTTCCGCCTTGCAACCTTCGAATTATCAAGTCACCTAAACCCCACATCTACAAAGCCGCAGAAACAAAGAAGACCAAAACCCTAGACGACCCTGTACTCCACAACCGCCGTTACATGTCTGAAACACCGAGTCTTCCAGGTATCTGCGCGAGGGATCCAGCGCCGGTTGTGGTGCTAACGAGTGGGCGTTGATGGCACCTTCAAGTGCAGACTTCATCGACAAGGCCCCCCTGAATTACCGGGGCTCTACGCGATTATGAGAACCCGCTGCAAACCCAGGCCCCTTAAACAACCCTCAACCCTAAACCCCTAAACCCTAAACCCCTAAACTCTTAAACCGTAAACCCCAAACCCCTAAACCCTTCTAAATGTTGGTTAGGCTCCTTTAGTAGTACACCCCCCCGCCCCCGGGTGCATGGGCTCATTGAAACCATGGACCGGTCATGGGGCCTGGGCCTCGTAGCACAAAAGCTCCTAATATAGCGGTTTAAATGGGGGTTTCCGATAATTCGGGGTACCTTATTTTGGGGTCCTCATAATAAGGATCCGACTATTTAAGGTACTATATCAGGGTCCCCTTTATTCGGAAACTCCCATATAGGGGTCTAAATAATTGCCTATACTTTTTTGGGGGGTTCCTTCTTATAACTGTAGTATATTGGGCCCCAAAACCTTTAATTCTAATGATTACGGCCCCTATATTATGAAACTGTGAGCCATGGCTTTGATATCGGGCTGGGAGGGTGAAAGTCGTGCCAGAAGGTGCTTGGTTTGGTTATCCTGCTGTCATCATAGGGATCCTTAGGGGTGTAGGGGGGAGGGGTGTAGGGGACTATATTTCCTTAAATAGGCCTTATTAGTCCTTATTATGGGCCTTAAGGCCCCCTACCCCCCCTCCCCCTACACCCCTAAGGATCCCTATGATGTCAGGGCCATCAGAGCTGCTATACACTCCATGGGCAGAAAGGGGACAGAGACCGACAGAGAAAGACGATCAGATAAACAGAGACAGACAGAGACACAGGGAGCCTAAACCCTAAACCCTACACCCTAAACCCTGACAGACCAAAGCACTGCCAGGCTCTTGGCCTTTTCGAGCTCCGTGGCACCCGGCACGCCTGCATCGGCAGCTCCACCCTTGAGCACACCCTCGCGTGGTGCCAAGCTCAGCTAGGTCGAAACCCACTTTCGGGTTTTTCGAGCCTAGGGTTTAGGGTTTAGGGGTTTAGGGTTTAGGGTTTAAAGTTTAGGGGGGGAAGGGTTCAAGTAAGAAGAACCACTTTCCGCGGTCAGAATTTTTGGTCGTGGGGGTTTGGACGCCAAATCCAATTTCAGGTGCTCTGACCAGGGCTGGGGCCAGTATAGAAGCCTGAAAAATATGTCATACTCTGCTAGGGTTCCTTATTCTACCTCCATAACACTATATCTCCCAAAGCCCTATTGTGAAAATTGAGGCGCCTATGGCGCCGACATTATTCGGGGTTCAATGATCAGGAAACTTGGAAAATCTAGAGCTAAGGTGCCAAATATGCATGTAGGCCAGGTTCAAGCATGTAGTTCCCCTGAACTCGTGACAAGGATGAGAATTGTCAAAATTCGGAAGACAACGTAGTCACAGTAGCCACAGTTGTTTGACCATGCATGACTCTCTCTCTCTCTCTCTCTCTCTCTCTGTTTCTCTCTCTCTCTCTCTCTAAATATATATATATATATATATGTATGTATATAAAGATATATGTATATATATATATATACATATATATATATATATATACACAAACATAATTCCTAAACCCTAGGTAAACCCTAAACCCCAAACCCTAAATAGATTGCATAAATACATAAACATATAATATAGATATGTATATATATATATATACATATATATATAGAGACTCATGTATGTATGTATATATATATACATATGTACTCATATATGTATGTTATATATATACACACACATAGATATGTACCCATCGTCCTTCTGTCAAGCGCTAAATCCGGTCGTCTCGGTGGCCCTGGGGTGGAACCCCAGAAGAGCCCGGAAAGGCTAGAGCAAAGCGGACGGAGGGTTCAAGAATCTAGGGGCCTTAGTAAGTAGAACAGGGTTCCTTTAAGGGTTCCTTTAAGAGGGTGATATGAGGGATCCATAGTTGGGTTCTATGAACAGGGGGCCTAGGACTTGGACTAGGGCTTGGCGGGTACATTAAACCATAATTGTCATGGGAGCCCTCAGAACCAGTAGTGTTCAGGCTTCTACATGACACGGTAGTTAGTCATACTACTCTGATTCTTTAGGGTTTCCTATCTTGATCAAGGTATACTGTACCACAGAATCGTCTTTCAATGGTGAAGGCCGCGATACCCCGACGTGAAGTGGCCCTAGCAGCTGCCAACAGGTGTCCCACATCGGCGTTGGCTTGGATCGAAGAGCAGGCACGATGCAGAGTCTTGAGCACTCAAAGTGGACCAAGATCCCCAAGGAAAGCCTAAACCCTAAACCCTAAACCCTAAACCCTAAACCCTAATCCTAAGCCCTGGTGCGGCGATCATATAGGCACGAGGTCACGAAGCCATTTCTCCGAATCATGCGCACGACTTCGGGTGTGAGGTCTCTGCCTTTCAACTTAAAGACAGCGCACCATCCCTGAACCTAAACCCTAAACTCCAAGTTTCGGGGGTATCAGGGTCTCACACGTCGCGTTTCCTTTTTGCTCTCGCGGCCACCGTCGTCACGGACATATTCCCCGACCCAAACCCTTGAATTTCCACTTGCCTCCTTCTGATCCCGTGGTTTGCTACACTTGGAGGTTTTGGACTACTTGGAGGTTCAGGGGTAGTTCTAAGTAGGGTTATAAGTCCCCTAATATGGGTTAGAAGTATAGTTACCCCACTTATAACCCCACTTATAACTACCCATGAACCTCCAAGTAGGCAAGCCCCGAGAGCCTCGGGGCAAGATCCAGGCGGTGGCTGGGCAGGGTCAACGCCTGAATGCCGTGGGGGTTGGTAAGCCCAAATTCCGGGCCGAAAGCGATTTACAAAGACATTCGCAAGCATCAAGGACTTGAAGTCGTAACGACAAAGGCTTGATTTGTCCAGCAGCGGCCGCTTGTAGGATTAGCAAACAGTTGGCTTCTTGTGCCCAACCCCAGTGGGTTTTCTGTGTCTGAGCGGGGACCTCAGGATTGAGCTTAATCTTCACATGGGGTACACCTGGCCGTTGTGCGACTTTGTTCTTCTGTTTGTTTTTCCTCTTGGCAACTCCGCGGACACGAAACGGCGGACCCGAAACCCGCGTTAACCTATGCCGTAGATCCTGAAAACCTTAAACCCACTACAAGCTTAAACCTTTCGGCTTTCAATTCATAGGGGCATCCAAGTAACACAGGAAGAGGCTGAAGAGGGCCAGCCGGCCCTGGTGTTGGATGACCCCGGGACAGCTCAGCCCGCCGACTTTTGGCTACATCCCTGTGACTGTGGCTCGGCTGCTTCGGATCTTTGTAATTGCCTTTATTTATGGGTTTCTTAAGTGGTTTCTGTGAGGTCTCCTGTCAAGAAGGGTGCCGTTGAGGTATTTTTGAGGATTCGAGGGTGCTGTAAGGCTTCGGGTTGCGGGTGCGGGGGTTAAGAGTTTAAGGCCAGGGCTTCGTGTAGGGTTCCAGAGTCTGTGACTTAAAGGTGTCCAGGTTTTACGGTCGTGCTGTTGCACGGTTGTTAGTGCTTCGGGTATGTAGAACCTGGACTTCATGCAGCTCTGAAAGCAAGCTTTTCAACAATATCGTGCAACCGATAGGAAACCACGCAGCATTCAAGAAAACGATGCGCAGCATTCAAGAAAACGATGAGTTCTTTGAGAAACGGCACAAGAAGCCGTGCAACACGTGGAGGCTGCTGCAAACTTTTCAAATTGCAAACCTAGAGAGAACCGCAAAATCTCTACCTTAAAGCGATTTCGAAGGTACTTAACAAACCATATCAAACCATTGTTCAAGCAAGAATCTGCAAGACTGCACCCCAAATCTTATAGGGATTGTTTGAGCACCTTAGGGCTTCCCGGTTCAGGGCCTTAGGGTGTATGGTTGAGGATTTAGGTTACAATCTTGGTTTCGGGGGTTCAGGGTTTGATGTCTAGATGTGCATGAGACCGGAGCCCCAGGTGCCCCGGATGCCTGGGGACCGGATCTGCCCGTGGATCCTCAAATGTTTGAGAATCTCCCGGTGGCTTGGCGCGGAGTTGTGAGTGTAGCTATCCTGCTATGGGTTTGAGGGTGACTGCCGGTTTTCATAAGGCTTTAGGGTTTAGGCTGTCGGTAGCTGCAAGAGCTTGATGGTGATGTCGAACTCCTGATCGGCTCACGAAAAGTGAGATCGGGCTTTCATAGGGACTGGTGGATCTTCGAGTGCACTCTGTCGGGTTCCGAGAATGGGGCTTCTTGGAGCTAAACTCTGGACCCAAAAATCCTCAACTCTCTCTAGGATGCAATGGAGCGGAGCGGGGAAAGCTCTTAACCCTCAACCTTAATACCCAAAACCGTCCCAAAACCCTAAACCCCCAAACCCTTAAACCCTAAAACTTAATACCCTAAGCCAGGATAAGAAGTGTGACTGGCCTCAAAGACTCGGATATGTCGGTTTTGCGTACGGCAACTCTAGGCAGCCAGTTATCCTGAACCCCCCCCCGAGAGTTTCAGTGTTAGAGGTTCAGGGTTTAGGGTTAATGGTTGGGGGTTCAGGGTCCCAAGCCGTCGAAACCGTCTGAAACTGAAGCAAAGACATGCGAACCCTTAAACCCTAAACCTAAACCCTCAAACAACCCTAAATCGTTGCTTCCGGGGCACTAGGGTGGGGGCATCGGGTTGAGGGGCTTGGGGCTGAGGAGGTTTGGGGTTTGGGGTGTGGGGGTTTGGTTTTCTCTCTAGCAGGGTAAGGGGTTTCGGGTTTAGGGATTGTGGTTTGGGGTTGTGTGACCCCCAAAGCCACGCCTTACCTTGACTGAGTGATCTGAGGCCAACAGCAGCAACCAATTCATCCCGACCCCCTACGTCATCGTCACGGGGCAGCTCGTTTGCCCCTCACGTCAACTGCTGGGAGGCATGTGCGACTTCTAAGTTGGGGCAAGCAGTTCAAGGTTTACGCATGGCAGTGATCTCTGGAAGATCTTGCTGCCCCCACACTCTGACTCTGACTCTGACTGGCCTTCCCCCTCCCTCTCTCTCTCTCTCTGCCTCTCTGTCTCTGTCTCTGTCTCTGTCTCTGTCTCTGTCTCTGTCTCTCTCTCCCTCTCTCTCTCTCTCTCTCTGTCTCTCTCGCTGTCTCTCTCTCTCTATTTTTCTCTCTCTCTTTCTCTCTCTCTGTCTCTCTCTCTCTCTTTCTCTCTCTCTCTCTTTCTCTCTCTCTCTCTCTCTGTCTCTCTCTCTGTCTCTGTCTCTGTCTCTGTCTCTGTCTCTGTCTCTGTCTCTGTCTCTGTCTCTGTCTCTGTCTCTGTCTCTGTCTCCCTCTCTCTCTCTCTCTCTCTCTCTCTCTCTTCTCTCTCACACTCACTCTCTATCTGTCTCTCTCGGTAACGGCGAGGCTTCAGTGCGTCGCGTTTCAGGTGTACGGAGTCGTAGGGTTCTCAGGTAGTGGTTCCTTTTCCCCGAATCGCCTAAACCGAAACGTTGCAGAGGGGGAGATCTCGAAGAGGCCGAAAAGCTGTGTCACTCCCGACAGGCGGCATGGGTGTGCACTTCCAGTCAGAGGAGGAGGCCGGGAATCTGCAGTCCCAAAAAGATTTGAAACCATAAGAAAGGGGCCTTCAACGATAAGAGCCGGTTTCTGGTCTACAATTTTAGCACAGCTATTGCTTTAACACAACTTTTGAGAGACTTTGCCTCGATCCTGTTGCTGCGTCTTCAGACTTGTGTATTGAACGGTAAGCCCCTATACGGCAACACTAGAAATTACATCCTACGTCCTACATCTCAAACCTCGAGTCCGATTTCTCCCCCCTGCTTGAACCGTAAGCACCGACCGCAGCCATATTGGAGTTTCCGGAAATTGGGGGTACCTTATTTCGGGGTCCTGAAAATTTGGATCCAACTAGATTGGTGTCCCCTATTTTCCGAAACTCCCATATGGCACCCTTAGGGGAGCCTTGCTTCAACCCCCAAAAGCTTCTAAACGAACCACTCTATAAACCCCATAGTATCCCTAAGCCCCAAAACCCTAAGGCCCTAAAGCCCTAAACCCCTAAACCCTAAGTCCCAAACCCCTAAAGCTTAAGTCCTGAACCTTCTAAACCCTAACACCCAGGGAGTCCTCCAAGATCCCTTAACTTACCTTTGGCTAGTAGGGAATGGAAGAATGGTAGTAATAGTAGCGTTATAATTATACCCCATTCCTCCATTCCCTGCTACCCAAAGGTAAGTTAATTAAGGTAGATTACCTTATACAACGACCCCTGAGACCAGGAGGATCCTCCTAGAGCTTATGATTGAACCTTCACAAGCCGAAGCCTTAGGGTTTAGGGTTTAGGGTTGCGAAAACCGGATCAATCTGCCCTGAACCCTAAAACCCCCAAGCCCTAAACCCCTACTTCAGAGCAGGCGCCAAAGCAACAAGCCCTAAACCCTGAACCTTAAACCCTAAGCCTTAAACCCTAAGCCTTAAACCCTGAACCCTAAACGTTGAACCCTGAACCCTAAACCCTGAACCCTGAACCCTAAACCCTAAACCCTAAACCTTAAACCCTAAACCCTAAACCCTAAACCCTAAACAAGAAACCCTAAACCCTAAACCCCAAAAGAGAAGCCTCCTGAGGTCCTGGAGCCCGCGGACTGCGAGGCCCGATGCCGGGAGCAGTCGACCTGCCTCTTCTTCTGGCCTCCCGACGGCGATTCAGGTCCAGGGGCTAAGGGGCTTATGGTTTAGGGTTTAGAGGTTTAGGGTTTAGAGGTTTAGGGTTTCGAGGTTTAGGGTTTAGAGGTTTGGGGTTGAGAGGTTTAGGGCTTAGAGGTTTAGGGTTTAGGGTTTAATTATTCCGTCTTCTTCTGGCCTCTTGACCGCGGTTTGGAGCTTCGGGTTTACTGGTTCAGGGTTTAGGGTGGGTGTGGGGTTCGGGGTTTCAGGGTGTGGGGCGTTTGGTGTTGTAGGTTTTGGCGTGTTGCCGTTTGGGGTGGTTGAGCGTGTCAGGGTTTCAGGGTTGGTTTTTGTCTTTGTTGTTTCTTAAATGCCTGCTTGAGCTGTTTTTTTGTCGTCTGTTGATTCTTTCCTTACATGGAACTTCTTGTAGAATCCTTGCTACAAGCAGAACCCTAAACGACCCGAAAGGCCCAAACAAAGGCGCCCCAACCCGAAAACCTATACCCTAAACCCCTAAACGCCTAAACCCCTAAGCCCTAAACCCTAAACCCCTAACCCCTAATCACTAAACCCCTAACCCCTACACCCCAAACTCTAAACCCCAAACTCATAACCCCAAAACTCCTAAGCCCTAAACCCTAAACCCTAGAATCCCCAGTCGCCGACCAGGGAAGGCGGACAAAGGAGGCCTTTGCGTAACTTTAAAAACCCAGGAGGAGCCCCCCAAACCCTTAGAAGCCCCAAGTTTTCTGACTCAACCCTGAACCCTAAATAACCCCCCTCCCCCTTTCCCAAAAAAGAGAAAGACCACCTGGGCCTGTTTCGAGTTGCTGTAAGGCACGGCTCGCAGCACGGCGCATCGACCTGCCGTTCCCCGAACTGGATTTTTGGAGGTTTGGGGGTTGAGGGCGTTCGGGTCTTCGGCTTTGGGCTCATAGTTGTAGAGTTTAGGGCGCGTAGGTCTAGGCCGGCTGGGCCCGTTTTTTTTTCTTCGGTGCTGCTCGGCTTTGGTTTGGCTTGGCTTGGCTCGGCGTGGCTTGGCCCGGCTTGGCTTGGCTCGGCTCGGCCGCCGCGGCTTAACTTAGAGCAAAGCCACCCGGAGCGAAGTCGCACCCAAGAAAAAAAACTCCGCCGCTGCCTCCGCGGAGTTTTTGTTTTTTCCCCTGTGTGCGGCTTGGCTTGGCTTGGCTTGGCTCGGCACTTGTTATACTTAATGCCGAAAGTTCAGACATAACGGTCATTTGCAATCAATAACCATTAAATGATCAGTCTGTGCGGCACTCGCTCATTTATGATCGCGTCCCGCAGCTGCGCTGGCTGGTCCCTGTCCCCCCGGAGAAGACAGGTCACTTTGACTTTGGATTTACACGCGCATCCATCTTCACGGTTGCATTCATCACCAACATCATCATCTGCTCACTCCCTCACTCCCCAGCTCGTTCACTCACTCACTCACTCACTCCCTCAGTCACTTACTCAATCAATCACTCGCTTGCTCATCCTTGTCTAGCAGAAGTACGTAAAACCACCACGTGCGCTACCTCGCCATGTGACGGCGGGGGACAGAAGGCAGCGAAAGAGTGACCGCTGGCTCGCGTGGCTTCAGGCCGGATTGCAGACATGATCAGGAAAGACATATTGCCTTCAGCGCAGGAATACATGTCAAAATACAAAGTCTAGATCCATCAACCTGTAATCAATCCAAAATCTTTAATCAACCGTTCCCGTAAACCTGAATGGGATGTGGAAGCAGTACTTGAAGAAGAAAAAAGAAGAGAGGAGGAAAGAAGCTTCCCGACAACGGTGGTGGTATTTTTTGCTTATTTTTTTCAATTCTTTTCTTATTTTTTCCGTTTTGCTCGTGGCAAGCAAGCAAGCAAGCAAGCAAGCACGCAAGCAAGCAAGCAAGCAAGCAAGCAAGCAAGCAAACCAGCAAACAAGCAAGCCAGCGAGCAAGCAAGCAAGCAAGCATGCAAGCGTGCAAGCAGGCAAGCAAGCAAGCAAGCAAGCAAGCAAACGTGCAAGCAAGCAAGCAAGCAAGCAAAGAAGTAAGCAAGCAATAAAGGAAGCAAGGATGGAATCGTTGCAGCCTCCTGTTATTACTACCTACTACCTACTACCTACTACCTACTACCTACTACCTACCTACCTACCACCTACCACCTACCACCTACCACCTACCACCTACCACCTACTGCCTACTGCCTACTGCCTACTGCCTACTACCTACTACTACCTACTACTACCTACTACTACCTACTACTACCTACTACTACCTACTACTACCTACTACTACCTACTACTACCTACCACTACCTACTACTACCTACTACTACCTACTACTACCTACTACTACCTACTGCTACTGCTGCTGCTACTCCTACTATACGACTCCTACTACTCCTACTACTACTACTACTACTACTACTACTACTACACCTACTACTACTACTACTACTACTACTGCTACTACTACCTACCACTACTACTACTACTACTACTACTGCCACTACTACTACTACTACTACTACTACTACTACTACTACTACTACTACTACTACTAGTACCACTACTACTACTACTACTACTACTACTACTACTACTACTACTACTACTACTACTACTACTACTTCTACTACACCTACTACTACTACTACTACTACTACTACGACTAGTACTACTACTACCTTTAGTACTTCTACTGCTACTATGACCCTACCACCCCCTACCCCTACCCCTACCCCCACCCCTACCCCTACCCCTACCCCCTCGCCCCCTACCCCTACCTACCCCTACCCCTAGCCAAACAAGGGAAACGGAAAAAAAATAAGAAAAAAACGGAACAAAAATAAGGAACAAAAACCACGCCCGTTCACTACTACTACTACTACTACTACTACTACTACTACTACTACTACTACTACATCTACTACTACTACTACTACTACTACTACTACTACTACTACTACTACTACTACTACTAGTACTACTACTACTACTACTACTACTACTACTACTACCACTACTACCACTACCACTACTACCACTAGTACTACTACTACCACTACTACTACTACTACTACTACTACTACTACTACTACTACTACTACTACTACTACTACTTCTACTACACCTACTACTACTACTCTCCAACGAGCGCGATGGCAAAGGGCGCCACCTCCGGTCACGGTCTTCTCGCTGGTCATTGCCCGGTCTCTCAGGGCCGTGCACAGGGACGATAAGCCAACAAAGGAAGGCACAGAGACCT